ACCAGAAAGAATAAACAAATATGGTAGTTGGTAGCCTTACCCGAGCACCCATAAGAGACGAGAAAGTCATATTAGCTTCTGCTATATCATCCACAACGAGTTGCTTCAACATCCTTGTTTCTGGATTCATCGTTGTTTCCCAAAGCTGTTCAGGCATCATCTCTCCCAAACCTGCAAAAAAAATAAACCAAAACAATATCTTAGGAGGTGAATAATGGAAAACCTACACTAAGTTTCAACTTCTTTCAACTTTTTCTACCATTGGATCTCAACGAGTTCTACATTTACCTTTGAACCTCTGAATGTTGTAGGATGCGTTTGCAGGAAAGTTTGCTGTAATCTTTTTAAGGTCTGCATCATCATAGCAATATTGTGCTTGTTTTCCCCTCTCAACCTGGTCGTTTCCATTGAAGGTTAGTAGTTTCCTACATCCAAATCACAAAATGAACTGCAAATCATAGTTTATATTACCTTGAAAAGAGGTGGAACACCAACATATATGCAACCAGCATCAAACAAGGCTCTCTGTCAAAAGTTAAATTAAAAATTAGATAAACTCAACCCACTGTTAAGGGACCTTTTTGTTTTGTTTAATCCTAAACTAACTTACCTGATATCTAAAGAAAAAGGTCAACAGAAGCGTCCGGATATGTGCACCATCAACATCTGCATCTGTCAAGATGATAATCTTGTGGTACCGCAAATTCTCCAACTTAAATTCTTCTCCCTGAAACCAAATATTTATCCCATTTGAGTTGTTTTTTCCACAAACACTCAAAAGAGATGGAAAAAAAGGATTTTTACTATATCACCTTTACTCCAAGGCCAAGGCCAAGAATCAGATTTTGAATCTCTTCATTCTTATACATGGCTGCTTCATCCTTTCTTTCAATGTTCAGAATTTTACCTCTCAAAGGAAGAATTGCCTACATATATTCCAAAATCTATGATAAGCATTGTAACTATTGACATATAATATATCAAATTTAACTTTTCACAATGGCTGGCTGATATCTTCTATGGTTACACAATGAAATGAAGGATACGTGTGAGTACCTGAAAGCGTCTGTCACGTCCCTGTTTTGCACTGCCACCAGCGGAATCTCCTTCAACGATAAAAATCTCTGGAGACATTACAAAAATATGTCACTACCTTACTGAATTAGCATGTGTTACAGATGTTAAGATAGTTAAAGCATATGGTTTCCTTTCTTAACTTCTCAATTTGAATGTAAGAAGATCAGATATATTCTGTCATGTTTAGCTTTCATCGATTATTACAAACAACATTTTAATGCTAACAATACATACCAGATTCTTCAGGATTTGTTGATGAGCAATCAGACAGTTTCCCAGGAAGTGATGATGACTTCAAAACGCTTTTTGTTCTGACCAACTCCCTCGCCCTCTTGGCAGCCAAAGCAGCCTAGATAAAGAACACATAGTGAAGTAGACTTTCATGATAATTTGGTTGAAAGTTAGCAACTAATAGCAGAAGCATACCTTGTAAGCGTTAAGGGATTTGGAAAGAATGCTCTCAAGTACATCTGGATGCAATTCCAAATACTCTGTGAGATACTCCTGAACTGATTGGTCAACAATTTTTCTCACCTCTGGATTTCCTAATCTTGTCTGCAAGAGGAAGGGGGAATTAGGAGACAAATTATATTAGTGGGGGTAAATTTCAACAAATGAGACAGAAAGATTGCTTCCTGTTGACCAGAGATCATATTGCTAAAGAGACAAATCATTATGAGTTCAAGTACCTTTGTTTGACCTTCAAACTCAGGATTAGGAATCTTGACTGAGACGATGCAGGTCAATCCCTCTCTAACATGTTCTCCATTCAAGTTAATATCCTTCTCCTGAAACACACAGCCAACAAGATTATACACATACTAAAAATTAAAAAGGAAGTTAGTGCAAAAAGCAGGATCTTTGCAGTACAGCCTACTATAATGTGTATATGTACCTTAACTGATTTAGACTTCTTCGCAAGGGTATTAAGGGTCCTTGTTAATGAAGCTTTCACACCTTCGATGTGTGTTCCACCGTCAATAGTGCGAATACTATTGGCATATCCCAGCATAGTGTCTGAATATGCATCTGAGCACCTGGTACAAAAACGTGCTAATCTATTAGATCAGTTCCGTTTAAATATTCATATAATATGTGCTTTCTTGTGTAAAACAAATAACAACATTGCACAGAATAATATGAACAAAGGTTAACAACATACCACTGAAGAGCAACGTCAATGGTGGCACCATTAATCTCTTTCCTGAAGCCAAGCACGTCATGAATCGGATTCTAAACAAAAGAATTGTCATCTAATCTTTTCAAGTAATAAGAAAGTCATATTGTTTCAAAAATAAAAAAATAAGAAAGTCATATAACAATTATGATAATGAAAACATTAATTCATAAGAGTTCACTAGTCATGTTAGCCTAAATAAACAATGAATCTAATTTGCTTCATACACCTACATAACGTGATTTTAATGTGTAGATTCTGACCTTATCAGCATTTAGCCAACTAACATATTCACTTAATCCTCCAGCATAAAAATGTTCAGTATATTGGCTCTTCTGAGGATCATCATCCTCCTTTTTAAGAGATATGGTAACCTGCAAACACAAGGATCAAGCCATTTGTTATGACAAATAATCATACAACATCAGCATCTGCGAAAATTGTCATGGTTGACCATGCTTTTAAGTATAACAAATTTACCTTTGGATTCAGAAATGCAAGCTCCCTGATTCGTCCAGCAATAGTGTTATGGTCGAACTCAATTGCAGTTGTAAATACTGAAAAACAGTTGATTCCACAAAGGAAAATTAACCATCAAATAAAAATTTTGGGAGGGAAAAGTAGAAGAAAGAAAACCTTCTTTGTCAGGCCAAAACCTGATGCTTGTCCCTTTAGTCCCCTTTGACTCTAGCGGCAGATCACTGCGAGTGAGCGTAGTTATGGGCTTTCCACGAGAATATTTTTGCTTATTCTCCATCCCATCTCTCCAAACCGTAACCTCCAGGGCCTGCAATATACAGAAAGAAGATTCCTGGTTAGCTATACTGGTTATGATGGAAGAGTATTTGACATCAAATGCTCAAGAATCCAATAAGGAAACTTCTAACTTTTTCTTTGTAACAAAGTCAAGTAGCTTATGGTTTCACAAATCACAAAGGGATATAAAGAAAAAAAAAATTTCAAAAAAGAAAGAAGCAATGTGAGTGAAGATTAGAACACACCTCAGACAACGCATTTACTACTGATAAACCAACACCATGTAATCCACCAGACACACTGTAACCACTACTTGTGCCACCAAACTTGCCACCGGCATGTAATACCTGTACAAATAACAAACACCGAAGATAAAATTGCATGATCAAATATCATGATAACTAAGGAATGAAACCGAGTCAGTTCATGAGATGCAAAACCTCGAGTAAAGTACTATCATGAAAATATAATAGTAATATTTACAGTATGCTAACATACCGTAAGAACAGTCTCCAGGGAAGATTTTTTTGTCGCAGGATGCAAATCAGTAGGTATCTGCAAGAAAACTTTACATATCAGCAACAAGGACAAAACAAGACTACAATGTGGTTCATGAGAAGGTGTAATAACATATCACATACCCCACGCCCGTCGTCCATGATACTGACAGAACCATCTGCATGCAGAACAACATCAACCTTTGAAGCATAACCAGCTTGAGCCTCATCAATTGCATTGTCCAGTATCTCATAAACCTAGGAAAAGAAGTTACATTTAAAGAAACATAAACAAATCACATCAACAGCCAACAGGAAAAATGGATTTAAATGAAGAAAACACTTACCAAATGGTGCAAACCACGAGTTCCAGTGCTCCCTATATACATCCCTGGACGTTTCCTAACCGGGTCTAATCCTTCCAGCACCTAATGAATCAATACATTGAAGTCAAAAGAACGACTTTGAATAGGAAAGAGGTCAACAACTAAAAAAAAAAAAGAAGATTACTTGGATTTGCTCGGAGCTGTAACCCTTAGATGTGGCACTCTCTTGGAAGGCCTCGGTGGATATGGTTGATGACATAAATGACCTCGTCGAAATTGCATTTCTTTGTATCAGCCCTTGACTCAAAACCTTAGTTAACTGAAAATTTATCCTGAAAATAGAAAGAAAAACTCAATTAAGCACCTTGCTAGAATCAAGGCGAGTTAGAAGAACTTTCATCTTAAGCCATAAGAAACAACACTCTAATTTCACAGAACCAAGCATTTCCAAAATTCTCAGAAACTTTCCCCATCAGCGAAAAGCTTGGCACTTTCAATAACCCAAAAGGAAGACTAACAAAACCCTAGATAAAAAATCGAATCTTTCAGCATCTAGAACAGAGTATGTCTCGTCGAAGTGAAAGTAAAGCAAACCTGGGACTTGGGGAGAGAGATGAGCAGTGACGGTGAAGAGAAGGAGATAGTGGGTTCGAGAAGAGGCGAGGACGAGAAGCAGCCATGAGACGCGTATAGAGACCACGATAAGGAGCTCTCTGAAGAAGGTTCATGGTCTGAAACTGAGGTTTTTGGTTCTGTTTTTTTTTTTTCCCTAAAACCCTATAAGAATTTTAATTGGCTCAGATTTGAACAAATAATTACAGATTTGGGCTGTTTCCAAAGTAAACAAGAGATTTGGCGCCGTTTTGCAAAGTATTAATAAGAGGCCGAGACAATTGGGCTGGATTTAGTATGGGCTTTATCAAATTCAATAATTTTTTAGCCCATATTCATATAAACATTCGTCAATTCGTAATCGCCATATTCTTTTTTTTTATCTGGGTAATTATATTATTACAAATTATTAGAAACATAAAAAAAAAAAATCAAAAATCAAAGGTTATAAACCTACTTATCTGAATACAGAAAATCGAGCAGCCATGTTTGTGGTTATTGACAATGTGTAGATTACCATTTACCATCACTCATCCTCAGTTAAACAAATTAAAGCTACATAATCCCTCTCTCTATCTTCCAATCAACATCCATTTGAACTTACCACAAGGGCTTTCCACATCTTGTTTGAACAAACTCTGTTACAGACTAACCGATAGATAGTAAAGATCTAGAGGGTAAATGAACCTGCAGGGGGAGTTGCAGCTGAAGAGCTTAAGCCCATGTGGTAATTTCTAAAAAAAAAAGAAAAAATAGAAAGTTTACCTATATGTGGTAAATTCTAAAACATCCACCGGTGAGATCACCTTTCAATCGGCATAGAGAAGGTCATCACCACCACCACTATTCAAGAATGTTGGAGTTTAAACACAAAGATTGAGATACATAAAGGTTGGCAATTGAGGGTACGTAAAATCAAGAATCATTATAATGCATAGATCAATGTGAGGTGGACAATATTATCATTGTCATGTGATCTTAGCACAAGGATTGCTATAACTGTACAGTATTCAACTGCTATATAATACAAATCGTATAAGGTCGCATCATTGAATAAAGATTATGAGTCAAATACTAGTATGATCATAAAGATACAAATAACAAGAAATGTTACATAACAGTACAGTACTTCTAAAATATAATAAGTCTATAACATTGAAGATTCGTCAGTCCATTGAAACTCACATCTCTCAATATGATTGGTGTAATCCGAATAGCATACCATTGAGCTCCTCCAATCTCACTCTGCAGTCTCCTCTCATCTGCGCAAAGAACAAACAAAAACACAACAAGAGATCAGTCATTAATTAGATTCCTCTTAACGTCATGTATTACAAGTATCAAGAACATCTTTAGATCTCTTTGGACAATTACCTGAAGATGCAGAGTGTAGAAGACCCTTTCGGTGGAAGAAACAGAAGAAGAGGCGCTTATGACGTTAAGCCCGTTTTCTTCTAACCTAAGCAACATGTCGGAGATAGATGCACATTTCGATGTAGCAATCTGAACAGCTATCTCAGTGTCAGTGATCCAATTTGCTGTGATCTTTTGGGGAGAGGAATCTACTGATGAGTCCATCATTGCTCTATTTCTCAGCTGTTCTTGTTGATGTTTTAGAGTCGCTGTCTTTGTGGAGATTATCTTCAAAAGCTCTTCTTTCTTCCTAGACAAACTTTCAAGTTCTTGCTTCTGCTCTGGTATATACTTCACCACTCCCGCCACGGTCATTGGATTGCTCAACTTCTTCTGCATATATATAATCACCCGTCAAAAAGAATTTTGATTTTTCCTATAATATTAAAAGGTTATTCTATTATTCAAACTTGAAAAAGTTTGGAAACCAAATCATAATAGAATTGACAACTCATAAAAAAAAAAAATCACCATTTGAACCCTTATTCAAAAAGGTTTTTATTTAGTAAGTCCTTTTAGTTTTTTTCGATATTAGGTAACTATTCTATTATTCAAATTTGAAATAACTTAGAGACCAAATCATAATAGAAGAACTGATAAAAAACAAATCACCATTCGAACCCAAAGTTTTTGTTTAGTTAATCCATTTAATTAGTATAATATTATATCTATTACAGAGATTGTAAAACCTAATTATCTTGATGGGTTTTGTAGAAGTGAGAATCATTCAAGCACAAACCTTATGATACAAAGGAGGCAAGAGAGCACGAACTGAAGAGTATAAGGCGTTTAGCTTTCTACGGCGACCACGTTCACTTGCGTTGTGATTCAGTTTCTTCTCCAAAACCGATACGCGACCTGCTTCTTGATCATTGTTACTGTTGCCACCCTTGCTGTGATGAGGATGAAGATTGATGTTATAGTTGTTGAGATCATCTGGTTGGTCGAAAGAAGGATAAAGAAAAGAAGGAAGAGTTGGAGAAAACAAATCAACTTGAGATGGCCATGGATACTCCATTGTTGAAATAGAGTACATGATTTGTCCTCTCAATGATCTGAAGGGAATAACTAGAGAGAGAAAGTAGATGAGAGAGATGATGATAAGAACGAATTTGAGATGGAATCTATCAATGTATAGCTAGTTATGTCTTCAAGTAATTGGCATTTATAGCGCTCCATGTTTCATGGAAGTTTTTAAAGCTTTTTAAAGTTGTCTTACACTCCACACGCAGACTCGTGCAGGAACGAGTAGGGCACGAGGGCTCTTCGTACAACGTTATCTATATCCTATCTTCCCCTTAATAGCAACAATTATATATAACTCGATAATTTCTTCAAACTATTACTGGTAATTTTTTTTAATCCTGTTGCGAATCTTAGTTTTGTCATTTAAAAATGGCTAATCAATCTTGAATTAATACACTTAATTTTATTTAACATTTAGACCCCAAAAGACGATAGCAATATAAATAAATTTGATTATATAGTACAGTCAGGTACAATTAGTTTTTTAATTTTATTTTCTAAAAGTAATAGGTGGTTTTTAAGTTTGGAACATATGTGGACGCAATTCTTATCTGGTTTTGATTCTTTTCACTTGGACAGTTCAGTATATCACCATATTAGTGTATTAATACATGTATGCATACATCATAGGAATTATTTTATGAATGTCATCGATCTATAAGTTGTGTTGATTTTCCACATGATTTTTTTTGCATGGTGTATAATAATCCATCATTTGTCCAAATATAAATAGACAAAGGTTTAAAAGAACCGTCAGAGATCAACAAAAGAGAAATCACAATACAACCTTCAGAGTTAATTATGTTAAAACAAATAATGGAGGTTTTTGTAGTTTTATTAGGGAATATTTTAAACTTTTCAAGTTTATTTTTTGTTTGCTTGTTATTTATTATTCAACCTCTTTTTTTGTCAACTACTATTCAACTTATTTACCCGTCCATCAATCACATTGTCCTATTTTCTTCTCTTTTAATTTTTCGTCTTTCTCCTGGATAATTTTCATCACAATCCTCTTTTTATGTCATCACATGCGTACTATACCTTTGTTTCTAGCTTTGTTTATTGAAAAAAAATTATGACTAAGTGTTAAAATCTCTTCTAATGTCCCCAGGATTTTACGTTCAAACTTTATATTGCCCGAACCTTTTGGCTGGTTCGTCACTGATTATATTGACACTTAGAAGCAATAATGACGTTTCTAACATTTCTATTGTGATTTTACGTTTATATATTATTTTGTATACTATTGTGCTAGTTTTTATCAGTATAGCCAACTTAAAAGTTCAAAAAGTTGTAAATGAATTGAATAATACGAGAAAGATGACGTAAAGAAGAACAGATTAGGTAAAAATTCTGTTTAGTCCGACTAATAAATCAAACAAATTAGATACTATATCATCTACTCGATGTGTTTGGATTCAATACTCATACTTGCAATGGTATATTTTATAATCGAAATCGTAAGTATGTGCTATTTACTCATATAATAAATGGTATCATCGAGCATTTCGATAACTTTGAATATACAGTGGTCTGTATCAATATTTACGTTGTTTAAAACTCTAAGGATGTGATTTATATACAAACAGCGATATCATTTGGTTGGAAAATAATTTACTCTTGTTTCAGCTTTTTTTATCAATTGTTTCATCTATTTTATACCAATTAAGTGAAAAAAAATAATTTTTTAGTCTGGTTTTAAAAAAAGAGTAAAGGTATATGTTTTATCCCTCACGATTTGTAAGAGAATAACTTTTTTTTTATCTTTTACTCTGGTTCGAAAATGTTGTCTTTTCATTTTTCAATGATCTGAAAGGAATAACTAGAAAGAGACTAAATTTCACTCTTAATTTATTTTATTTAGACTAAAAAAATTTTCTCTCAGCTCCTCTACTTTAAGTTATTATCAATTCTTCTACTCTGTAATCCAAAATTTATTAATAAAATTTGTTCGTTTGCCGTTAAAGAAAACTAATCACACTCTAAATAAATGATCCAGAAGCTTCTGGTTGCTTATACTCATAAACAACCCAAAACTAGCCTCATTTCAAAGTAATATAAGAAGATCCCGCTTAATGTAAACTGTTCACACACATATGAGTATATGACTCAGTAAAAAAGTAAGTACAAGAAAGAGAAGAGATGGTAAAATGCACGAGCTAGTTGGTCGACGGCACGTGTCATCTGTGGGTTACAAACGAATACCACATTTTCAAAGTACACATCATCAGCCACTTCCCCTCACGCCCCAGTCCCCGACTTAACTGTTTGAAATACACATCTTTGAAATGTTTTTTTTTGTTAAAACACATCTTTGGAATGTTACATTCTTTAACTCTTATTAACGAAAACATTTATTTTCCCTCTTTGTAACTACATATATTTTTTTTTTTTGTAAAAAAAGTGTAATTATAAAAAACAGACTTTTTGATATAGAAAAATAACGGGTTTTTTTGTAACTTAAAAATAACAGTTTCTTTCTGTTTTGTATTAGTTAACTATCTCTTTATTTCACAGGTTCAAAGGATATGAATTAGGGTTTAGCAAAAAAAAAGGATATGAATATTAGGGACACTTTGTAGATGACCATGTAATGGATGCACAATTTCATAAAAAAACACAATTGCTATATGGTAATTAATAAGTAGCCTGTTTCTTTAACGTGACATTATGTAAAACAGTGTATTTGCAGACAAGAACATATTAATTTGGCAAAAAAAAAAAGAACATGTTATTAGAACCAAAAACACACACATCATCAAAATCCATGTTATTTATTTGTCAATAAAAATCCATGTTATTTAGAAAACATAAGCAGTAAATCAACTGCCATGTTAACAAAAGTACTATCCCTCGATTTCACAAAATAAAAGACTTTGATATTTTCGTTTACTGCAACTACTAAAGATATATAACTATTGCCTTCACATATTGTTTTGCAACCCTAAAATGTTGGTTGTAAATAACCCTAAAATGTCTACAGTTGCATTAAAGAAAGTGTATAATTTTCAGAATATTATAATAGAGGGTTAACCTACCTATGCTGTTTGACAAAAAAAAAAAAAAAACCTACCTATGCTCTCGCCTACGTTGACAATATAACAACTAACATTTCCAAAATAAATAAAAAAATTGTTAACAAAAAAAAATTAAAATCTACATGTCTAAACTCTTAGCTTCTCTGCAGTTTCCGTGGGAGTGCAGGACAGTCCTTTGGATGCTTTTTTATCCCGGTATGAACATCCGGCTCATAGGGGAGGCAAATGACTACGTAGGAAAGGTAAAGTCACATTTGTATGCATCGAAATGATCAGTTTCTTGCATCAAAAGTTATCAAATCAGCGAAATAATTTGATCTAGTGGTAACTCCTGTGGATAAAATAGAGTTTGTGCCTGAGGAAGCAACAATATATAGTCGGGAACACTTGCTTGTATGGTGCAACGGGTGGCCAGATATTTGGTAAGAGGCATAGCTGGAGAGTGCTGTGAGAAACTCACTAGCTGAAGCAGTAGTTGAAGCCACTGGGACCACTGCTGTGAATACATGACTAGTGGTTGTGTTGTTGTGCTTGGAAAGTGAGTAAACTGTAGTAAGTTCAAAACTGTTCGATGAGGTTTCCCATAAAATCTGTGAAGTGGCATGTTTGCCATTGAAAGAGAGTGGGAAGAAACGTAGCTCTATAACGATACAGTCTTAAGTTAAATAACTGCATTACTGAATGAAGTTTCCGAGTCAAATTGTATCATTAATTTAACAATAAGAAAGAAAAATATAACAAGAAAACGTTACAGAAGAGTACAGTAACTAAATATGATAAGTCTATAACATTAAAGATTCAGTCCTTGGAACTCTCATCTCTCAATATGATTGGTGTTATCCGGATAGCATACCGTCTAGTTCCTCCAATCTCACACTGCAGTCTCCTCTCATCTGCAGCAACGAACAACACACACAAAAAAACAAGATATCAATTTTTGAATGGATTCTATTAACTTCATTTATTTCAAGTAACAAGAACATCAAGTACCTCAAGATGCAGAGTGTAGAAGATACTTGCGGTGGAAGAAACCGAGGACGAGACACTTATGACATTAAGCCCGTTTTCTTCTAACTTAAGCAACATGTCTGAGATAGATGCACATGTCGATGTAGCAATCTGGACAGCTATCTCTGTGTCTGTGATCCAATTTGCTGCTATCTTTTGGGGAGAAGAATCTATTGAGTCTGCTCTACTTTTCAGCTGTTCTTGTTGATGTTTCAGAGTGGCTGTCTTTTTGGAGATTATCTTCAAAAGCTCTTCTTTCCTCCTTGACAAATGTTGAAGTTCTTGTTTCTGTTCTGGTATATACTTCACTACTCTCGCTACGGTCGTTGGAATGCTAAACCTCCTCTGCATAAATAATAATCTATCAAAACTTTTTTTTTTATTTTTTTTTATTATTAAAACACTATTTTATTACTTAAACTTGAAATAGTCTAGAAAACTCAAGAAAACCAAATTAGAATAGACCAACCGATAAAAAAAACTCAATATTCGGCCTAGTCAAAAAAGGGTTTTGCCGAGGTTTTAAAACCGGACCGGACAATGAACTAGTAAAATATATGAGTTATGGTTCAACCCGGTCTGACCGGTTTAATCGGGTTTCAGTTTTAATACGATATAGTTTAATAGAATATATATCATCCCTATATTACGAAGATATAGTTTCTATTTGATATTGTATTAACTAAATTAGTCACGGTCGGACCGGTCCAACCGGCCGGTCCAATCCGGTTTTGAAAACCTTGGGTTTTGCATATTTAGTCCGTTTAGTATAATATTATATCCATTTCAAGATTATAAAACATTGTTCTCTTGAGGGGTTTTGTAGAAGTTAGAAACATAATATTTCACCCACAAACCTTTTGATCAGAAGGAGGCAAGAGAGCACGAAGTGATGAGTATAAGGAGTTTATCTTTCTACGGCGGTCGCGTTCTCTTGCATTGTGATTCAGTTTCTTCTCCACCAATTCTTTTTCTTCTTCTTGATCATTATTACTAACATTTATGTGAGCAAGATTCATGTAGTGAGAAGGAAGATTGATGATATTATAGTCCTTGAATTCATCTGTTTGGTCGAAAGAAGGATAAGGAAAAGAAGGAAGAGTGGGATAGAAGGAATCAACGTGAGACAGCCATGGATACTCCATTGTTGAAGCAGAGTACCATTCTTGTTGCTTACTTGGAGTCAATGGTGTTAAGTCACACATTATCTGAAGGAATAACTAGAACGAGAGAGAGAGAGACTTTGATGATGAGAATGGAGGAAAATGATAAAGACTGAATTTGAGATGGAATCTATCGATGTAGCTAGTTATATCTCCAAATAGTTAGTATTTATAGCTCCATGATTAATGGAGTTTTTAAGCTTTTAAGTTATTGTCTTACACTCCACACGCAGACTCGTGCAGAAACGAGTACGGCACGAGGTTTTTCGTACAACGTATCTTTATTGTCCTACATTAACCCTAAATAACTCGATTTGATACAAAAAAAAAATTGTGAGAAAAAATCATTTTTGAATTTTTAATAACATTTAGGCCCCAAAAAATATAACATGATAAATAAATCCTGATTAGTAAATTCAGTTAGTCAGTTTTCTTTTATATTCTCTAAGTGATAAATGTGGTTTTAAAGTTCCTTATTAATTATACAAAATACTCCATTTGTTTCATTAAGTTACATATTGTATGAAAAAAATCTATTTCAAAAAAAAATTATTTTTTTGTATTTTCAATGTATGTTTTGTGAATTTCAAAAAATTTAATTGCATTTATTAAATTCTTATTGGCTTAAAATTATGTAAAAAATAATTGGAAAATTTTATGCATTTATTAGATATTTTATTAATATGTGTGCAAAACTAGAATATGTATTATACTTGAAACAAAGAGAGTATTTTTTATTATGTAACCTTTTAATACATATAATCAATTTATTATCAATTATATACTTTGGAACATGTGAACGCGTCTGAGGGTATCATCTAGATTTGATCCTTTTCACTTGATCAGCTCAATATATCACCAAATTGATGTAGACACACATGTATGCATACGTTATAGGAAGTTTCTTTTAGATTTCAACGATATATTAGTTTTGTTGATTGCCCACTTGAAACTTTCTGCATGGTGCTTAGTCAGCCATCAACGGCCACATAAAATAGACAAGTGTTCCTTAAAAGATTGTCGGAGGTTAACCAAAAATATCACAATCAGAGTTGACTAGGTTAAAACAAATTAACGGAGATTTTCAATTAGTTTTTTTTTTTTGCTTTATTATCTAGTTTTTAATCAAAATAGCCGAAGAGCCAACTTAAAAGTCTTGCGAGTTCAAAAAATGAATTGAATAATAACAGAAAGGTGATGTACGGAAGCAAAAATTAGGTTAAAAGCCTGTTTAGTCCAATCAATAATAAAACAAATTTAATATATTATCCATTCTAACACGGTATATTTTTAGTCACATTCATATTTTATGTCATTTACTGATATTTTTAATCATATTTACAGCAAATTGTCTCTAAAAATACATCTTTTGCGAATAATAAACGTTTCGTCCGGCCATAAAGCATTAACCAACAGAATTCAATGAAAAATAAGTAGATCCCACTCATGTAAAATGTTCACACACATATGTGACGAGTAAATAATTTCATAACAAGGAAGAGCTAGAACTCGCGCTCATTGGTCAACGGCACGTGGCTGATGTGTGTTAGACCGAGTTACCACATCTTCATGCACACATCATCAACCAATGTCGCCTCCTGCTCGATCTAAGAGTATATAGTTGCCACCCAGATACATATTTAGTAATATTAACTTATTTTAGTTGAGTAACTAATTTTTTTGAAGATTAAATTATTTATAATAGATATCTATCACAGTTATATCTACAGAATTCTCAAAAATTCTCATATTCTCACTTTTATTATAGTTGATCTGTTTGTGAAATTCACATATTTCGAATGTTCTGTAAGTCTTAATGAAAAATATCTGAGCACATACGATAAAATAACCTCTTTTTAACTGACTCTCCAATTCACCAGTTCAGAGGATATTTTTGTAGATGACCATGTGAAGGATAAAAAGTTTCATACAACATCATTGCCAAATGCTAATTAATAAGTAGCCTTCTGTTTTAAAACGTAACATTATGTAAAGAGTGTATTTTCTGACAAGAGAGGACGATATTAATTTGATCTATAGAAGAAGAAAAACAAACATCAAAATCCATGCTATTTAGGAATTATTTTGGCGATACAGTAAAAATAACATAGGTAAAACAGTGTGTTTTCAATTTAACAAAAGAAAACAGTGTGTTTTCAGATAACATAGCAAGACATTTTAAAAACACACACATCAGAATCCATGTCATTTTCAGTAACAAAAAAAAAAAAAAAAAAAATCCATGTGATTCATAAAACGTACACTGTAAATCATTTACTGCCACTACGTAACGTAAGTACTATCCCTCGATTTTGCAAAGTAGACGACTAAGATATTGTCATTGCGACTACGTATGATATGACTATGACATGTTAGTTTTTTCCTGCAAAACACTACATATGGGATATGGCCTCGCCTACTTGGCATCTCAACAACTAATATTGCCAAATACAAGAGGGAACAAAATAGTTTTTTTTTTTTCTGAAAAAGGCCATCGAAACCATTGACTTCCTTAAAAATATGCAAGAACATAACATTTTCTCATGAAAATACCTTTTCATATTAAAAGAAAGACTTTATATTTGAATTATTTGTGTTCTTTTTTTTTGCTAATGGAATTATTAGTAGAGTTGATTTCCAATTTTTTTTACTTAGATTTGTCTATTTTTTATATTATTTGAACAAATCAGTCATGATTTTTTTCACTTGAAATGAAATTTTAGAACTTTAATTAAGACTAGTTGACAAAAAACAAAATACTAAAGACCATCTTCCCCTAAAAAGAAAGCAAGACAAAAGAAGTCAATTTGATGATGGTTGGCACGTCAGCGTCAAGCCAGAAAATATATCCATATGCATAAAAAGTCAATGGAAGATATAATTTTGCTACTATTCTTGTTAAAGCCGTCCATTTATCTATGACTATTGGATTATATAAATAAATATATGTCTACATAAGCTACTATTATAGTAAAATTTATGATTAGCAAGTGTTCTATAAAGTTTTTCAAGCTTTTTCAGTATATTTAGGTAGATTCTTTAAGTTAACAAGTTATTATAATAGATTTGCTTTACATATTGTGTGAACAAAAATATTATTTACCAAAGAAAAATACTACTTTTAAAAATGATTTTTGCTTAGCAGCATAAAAATTGTTGTAGTTTACTTTACTTCAATATATTTTTACAAATATAACCCAAAAAAAACACCAAATGGTAGTAGTATTTTAATATGACCATAGGATGAATTAATATTCTTGCATTGTAAAATAAACAAAGAATAAGGCACCTCAATATCTCATCATAGGTTCGACAAAGAGGCACACAGAGAGATGCCTGGAGAAAACAACAATGACATCTCACCTACAGAATCTTAGATCTAATAACATCGTCCAATACAACATTACATAATATATTCTATATAGATTAAGATAAGATAGTTACAAAAAAATCACTACTGAGAAATTATCAAAGATCCTAATTAACAAGTCTTGATAAAACAGATTAAGAAACTATGCTGGTGAATAGTTCATCTAAATCTGCGTTTTGTCTCTCCATAAGCAACCACACCAAGAACGGTTATGGAGTACCCGCCAATCCCCATAACGGTAACCGGGTTTTGAAAAATCAAGATCGATATCACCACTGCAACTGCTCCTTTAGCATTTCCAAGGACCTGCTTAATTAAAATAAAAAATCAACATTGTTATCTCAGAATATACATCCTAAGGATTGGAGCTTGATAAAAGGTCTGCACATAGGTTTAGTTACCTGGAGAGTGAGTGCGCTTGTGTGTTTTGTAACCAGAAAATTCAACAAATTTGCTGAATAAGCCATTACAGAGTTAACCAGAAGAAGTATCCACATGTACTGATGTTGTTTTGCTAGCGTCAAGGTTAAGCTGATCACGTCTGGTTCCATAACTAGCGTGACTGGAAGAAGAGCAACCACAGCTATAGGGGACATATACAACATCAAATTCATCGAGTTCAATTTTTCCCTTCATAAGAAAAAAAAATCACAGAGATTATTATATATATGTCAAAATGCACCAATCTTTGGTTGGTAACAATGCTAATTCTAGAAAAGATTTTTACCCTTCTGAAGAAAGTAAAATGCCTTGAAGAACAGATTTAAATGCTCTTGCAGCAGTAGCACTAATGCACATAATGAAACCAAACCAGTGAAACCCTGGCTCCCCCTGCAGTAGAGAGAATGGTGCTTAGATCTTAGATCAAAGATCAGACAAGAGACTGAGGTTGGTACAAATCCAAAAACCAAAACCACTTGCTAAGCTTCCTAACAAAATACAATGACATAAAGTAAAAAAAAGAGATATCACCTTGCAGGAGAAACAAGGAGAGAGCTCAAAGATTAGATAAGATCCCAAAATGATGTTCTACCAAATTCTACACCTGATTAAACCATAAAATGCTCAACCTTTTTTAGACCCCTTTGTCAAAGTTTTAATCTTTCACAGAAACATCAAGATTCAAATCAAACATTGGCATTATTACTACTAAAAGAATCAAAAACAGAGGAAGAATATAAAAAAAAAGCATTACCCCACTAGCAATGACAACGCCAGCAACAACAGGGACAAGAGCACCATAAGTAACCCAAGCTTCTCTCTTAAGGGTCATAAGATACGCAAACAAAGCTGTGAAAAACGGCGTCGTAGCACCAACAGCTTGATTAAAAGAGACAGGAAGGTAACGCAGTGAAATGTTCCCTCCAACAACAGAGGCACAGAAGACAATGCTGAGAGTAGCAACCTTGAGAAACTGAGAGCGAGATTTGAGGTGTTGGAGAGGGACAAGCTTGAGGAAGACGATGGAAATGTAGCTGAGGATGGCGCAAGCGGACATGTGACACATTGTGAGGAAGATAGGGAATTTGAAACCGTAATTTGAGAGGAGGAACTTGTTGAGGAGAAGAACACCGATGTTTGAGGAGTACCATGAGATGATTAGTGTTGATATGAATAGGGTTTGCTTCTTCGACGATGAAGATGCCGACATTGTTCTGTTCTACTTCTTCCTCCTCGAGATCGAGATTCGTTGAGAGAAAGAGGGAGAGAGATAAAAGTTTCTAACTTGATTGTCGGTTAGATCCAGTTCCAATGGCATAATTTGTAAATAACTTTTAAAACAGAGTCTAATCGTAAAGTATCTTCTTTTGTCTGAAACAGAGCTTTTTAAAGTCAAAGTCTTTCTCTTCTGCGATCTCTTTTTGCTTTTTATGTTTTTTAAACCGAACTCGAGAAAGCATCTAACTTGATTGTTTGTCGGTTAGATCCAGTTCCAATGGCATTATTTGTAAATAACTTAATCCTAATCGTAAAGTAACTTCCTTTTGTCCGAAACAGAGCTTTTAAAGTCAAAGTCTTTCTCTTCTTCGATCTCTTTTTAGCTTTTAAAGTTTCTAACCGAACTCGAGAAAGCATCTAATTGTCGGTTAGATCCAGTTCCAATGGCATGATGTGTAAATAACTTAAAAAACAGAGTCCTAATCATAAAGTATCTTCGGATAATAGTCGTTTAATGAAAGGAGTTCGCCCTAAGTGAAACTCTCTCTGGTTCAGACCCCAAGGTGCCGCCTCCATGGATCTCTGCAATTTCAGCTTGGTTCCTCAGCCTTCCTTCATATGAAGCAGCTCACCCTTCTCATGGCTCCTTTGGTGATTTCGTCCTCCCCGTCGTGGTTCCGCCCTCCGATCCCTCCAGCGCAGTTCCATCGTTCGTCTTCGCCATCACAGTTTCGTCGTCCGTCCCCTTCGTCGCAGTTCCGTCCTCCTCCCGATCCGCCACCGCGTACGCCTCCTTCTGTACCGCTAGAACCGTCGTCTGAACCGCTCTCTTCGCCAGAACCACCGCTCTCTTCGCCAGAACCACCGCTTGAAGCTCTCTCTCCACCAGAACCACCAGATCCTCCTGACACAACTTTCAGTCTCGTGTTTTTTCTGCTCGACACATCTTGCGTCTTTTCTCAACCAGTTTCAAAAGCTCCAGATCTGGAATCTTGTTTGTTGAATATGGCTTTTGTGTTCCATGACGAGGTGGCTTCTTTTGTGTATGTTGGTGATACAAGCCTTGTCTCCAACTATTGGTATCCTGCATATTGTAGTGTGGCTCTTTGCTGGTGCTATTACATACACCCTCCTCTCCCGCTCATAATGCTTGTCTTTGTGCCCTTTGATTCAACAATGGGTTGTTGGATCCATATCACCATCTCCATCTCTCTTCAACGTCCATTAATCCAGGTTTTATCACATAGATTTTCTAACTTAATGTTGGATGATGAGTTGATATCTTTGGTTTGGTATCTTAGACTCTCTCGTGGTCTGTTTCTTTCTCTAGCCTTGGTGCACCCCTTTACTGCAGTATGCAGTTCCTTTACTGCAGTATGCAGTTTCATCTTTGTGGTACTTAACTCCTTTCAGTTGTGGCAGCTTAATGGATTGGTGCTTCACATTTCCATTCATCATGTGAATCTGGTCGCGTTGGACGTTTATTGTCCGGTTTCCTCCTTTACGGAGTTTGTTTCTCTCCCAATTTCATCATCTACTTTATGTGATTTTGTTGCAGGGAGTGTAGTGTTCAAGATTAGAGATACTTCTAACATTGAAGTTCTAATCAAAGGCTTTGTAGCCATGTTGAAGATTGTTGATTGTGCACTTGCTGCTGCTTCAATCTTGGGATTTATATCACTGATTGTGATCTCTAATTTCCAAGGCTTCATCTCACTTTACAGCTCGATGGTCGTTGAGATTAGAGGACTTCTCGACTTCATTAGTTGTTTAAGCGTTTTGTATGCCCCTATCCTTCTATGTTGTATTTCTTTCTTTGTAATAGCTGTTTGTTTAGCCTGGATGGCTTTGTTGTCATGTTCTATGAACACTTTGTAAGAATCTATAAATTGAAAGTTTGATCAAAAAAAAAAAATCATAAAGTATCTTCCTTTTTTTGTTTGGGTCAAAAAAAGTATCTTCCTTTTTGTCTGAAACAGAGCTTTTAAAGTCAACTTCGATCTCTTTTGCAAAAAAGTGTTTGCCTTTTCTTCTGTATTAACGTATCTAGCGATGTCAGGTTACCCTCCGACGAGCCAAGGTTACGGTTACGGCAGCGCAAATCAACCGCCGCCACCTTACTCCTCCGGCGGAAACAATCCATCGTACGGATCATCTCCTTACGCTGTCCCCTACGGCGCACCAAAGCCGTCATCCTCTTCCGCGCCGCCGTCTGCTCCGTCCTACGGCGCAGCGCCTCCTTCAGCACCCTACGCGCCTCCTCCTTCTGCACCGTACGCGCCGCCTTCATCAGGGGACTACAAGCCGCAAAAGGAGAAGCCTTACGGCGGTTACGGAGCTCAACCACCGCAGCCTGGACCTTCAGATTACAGTAGTTACGGTGCTGCTCCGGCGCAGCCGGGTTACGGAGCTCCACCGAAGCATGGACCTTCAGATTACGGTAGTTACGGTTCTGCTCCACCACGTCCAGCACAGCCTGGTTACGGAGCTGCTCAACCTCGTCCGGGGCACGGAGGATACGGAGGTTATCCTCCTCAGGGATCTTATGGAAGTCCCTTTGCTTCTCTGATTCCTTCTGGTTTTGCTCCGGGGACGGATCCGAACATTGTGGCTTGCTTCCAGGCTGCTGATCAGGATGGAAGTGGGTTTATTGATGACAAGGAGCTTCAAGGAGCTCTCTCCTCTTATCAGCAGAGATTCAGTATGAGAACTGTTCATCTCCTTATGTATCTGTTCACCAATAGCAATGCCATGAAGATCGGTGAGTTCTCTATATTGAACATAGTTTTCTAGATTCGGACAAGGATTGTTGGTTTTGTCAAGTTATGATCAGTGTTTTGGATTGAATTGAGAAATCTCTATGTTGTAGGACCTAAGGAGTTTACAGCACTTTTCTACAGTCTTCAGAACTGGAGGGTAAGTCTTAATATGAGTTTAGTATCATGGCAAAAGGTTTGGTTGAAGTTGACACTCATGTAGCTTGGTTTTGGGGTTTGTGGTTTGTTCAGTCTATCTTTGAGAGGTCTGATAAGGATAGGAGTGGGAGGATAGATGTGAATGAGCTGAGAGATGCGCTTATGAGCCTTGGTTTCTCAGTTTCTCCTGGGATTTTGGATCTTCTAGTTTCTAAATTTGACAAAAGTGGTGGCAAGAATAGAGCCATTGAGTATGATAACTTCATTGAGTAGGTTACTCGTTCCATACCCTCTCTTTCCTTAGTTTTTACTCTGATTGTTGCTGATTATTTTGCTTTTATCTTGATGCAGGTGCTGTCTCACTGTTAAGGTATGCCTATCATTTACTTTGTTACTGTCTCATAGATTAGTGCTTAGCTCAAATGAGAGATTATCTTCAAACTTGTCTCTCCACCTGAATATCAAAGTCCATTAATCCTAAATTTGTTGATTTGTCTTTATGATCATCAGCTCCTTTATTACTATGTGGTTTAGTGATGTGATGTTAGTAGGTCTGATTTTGTTTGTTTGATGGGTGGAAAAATTGCAGGGACTGACAGAGAAGTTTAAGGAGAAGGACACAGGATACTCAGGGTCAGCTACTTTTACTTACGACACCTTCATGCTCACTGTCCTCCCTTTCCTCATCGCTTAAGAGGTCTTTCAGCTTTTTTTGTTGTTGTATGTTCGTCGCTGTGTGAATGCTGTTGTCACAAGGTGATTTTTCCGGTTTAGTTAAACTCCAGGGTTTAAAACAAATGTAAAGATCTTGTGGGATTAAAAGAATCAAACAACTATATTATGGATGATTATAAGTAATCAAAGTTTGAGTTTGCTGAGTTTTAAAGATTGGGATTCTGGTGTATTTTCACACTATAAATGAGGGGTTTGTAATTGGATATATACTAACTTGTTGACGATGGTCCACATAAGTTTTTTTTTTTTAAATGGAAATCTAACTTGTAAAGTTTGTGTTTGGGTAAAGCCGTAAGCGTGAGAAGTATGATCCTTCTATACGCGTAGTTGGATTTGAGGAACACGGAATCTATGTCAGATGATGTTTATTAAGTACACGTGAGCTCATCGTAATCCCAATTCATGTGTAAGTTTTACAGTTCCTTTAAAAGGTTTGCATAATCTAACGAAATCGATTACGTCTCTTAGAAAACCACAATACTGTATGATATACGTTGATACTGACTTGAGCCTGTTGCTATCAGATGTGTCATTAATTAGTTGGTGATGATATGGCATTCTCATCTATGCTATTAAAACACCTCGTACCTAATCATGACTGCGACTACTACTAAAAATAAATACTAGTACTAACCGCATCCATAATTATTAATTACTCTCTAGGTATTTAAATATGATGTTTTAGTTAGTTTTCTTATATACAAAAATTGATATTTTAAGATATAATTAATGCATTTGTTTTAAAATTAAGCATAAATCCATATATAAAGTTATAATTGGTTGGACTTTATTGATAAAACCAAAAGATAATAGCTAAAATAATTGATTTATTGTTTTTTAATATATGTGTAAAACTTCAAACATCATATTATTAAATCCATAGGAAGTAATAAATACCCCAAAACTAATTGAAAAACACCAGATTCTCTAACAAAAACTTTAACTTGTTTTAAAAAATGTGAAATTACGTAATTTGAGGATTATATTAATCTTAATGATATTTGAAAAAGGATAAGAAAAGATTGACACGTGGACGCATCGTAGAGGTAGTTGGAAATAGAGCGGGGGGGTTTAGGATAGATAATAGCAAACCGACTTCGGAGAACCAAAACAACGAACTGTCTGAAACGGCGTTTTAAAATATCTCTCTCTCCCGTCTTTCCCATCGCCCTCTCTTGTTTCCTTTTCAACGGCTCCGATTTTCTTCTATCTCCGCGACCAAACCCATCTTCCAAGGTTCTCTCTCTCTCTCTCTGCTTCTTTTGTTTTTTTTTCCGTTCTCAAAAATTTTCATCTTAATTTTCAGCCATCACCAGGTTTCGAAAGTCATCACCTTTTGTTTTCATTTTCGTTATGTTCGATTCTTTTATTATTTAACAAGTTAATAACATGATCGCTTTTGTTGGTGAATTTGGTTCTGGTTTGGTCATCCATATGATGATCTGATAAGCTTTTTACTGTTTTTGATTTGATATTCCAAAAAAAATCGTTTCTTTTTTATGTTAGCTTCATGATTTTCACTCCAAAAGACTGTTACTTTTCTCCTTCTTAAGATTTGCCTTCAAATTAGTTAGATCATCATATCTTCATTTTTGGTTTTAATGCTCACGCGTTCCACGTTTTCCCTCTTTTGTAGGAAACTCAACACTACACGCAAGAGCCAACCCCCAAAAAACTCAACTTTGGTTGTTTGTGTTTGTAAAGTTTGATACTTTTAACGTTTTGTTATTAAATGGGGTATGAGCCTGATCCAGATGCTCTTCGTTGGGGTCTCCACGATCTTGAAGTTTGTACACTTACAAACGCTGGCTCTTGCGGCAGCGTGACGCGTTACGAGACTGATGCTGTTGCTCAAGGCTATGTTAGAGAAGGTTACAACCAGCCTTTGACTGGTTATGTAGACAATGATGCGGTTATAGCTCAGTTTTATCAAGATGAACTGTCTAGAGTTGATAGAGCTGAAGCATCTGATAATTTGAGGATCAGTAATAATCCTAGTCGGATCTCTGTTGTTTCACAAGAGTGGCCTCACCAAGGTTGGTTTTCAATCTGTGTATAGCCGAAGCATCAATGAAGATTTTAAAATTTGAGTTTTAATCACTATGAGTTTGCTTGTTGTCTCTGCAGGGCAGGATAATCAAGGGGAAGAAGCTATTGATATTTCTCTGGAAAGTGAGATGGAGGATAAGAATGTTGTGAGGATAGGGAATCAAGGAGAGCAAAGTTCACCAGGTCGTGATGATGATGATGGTGGCTCAGATTGTTCTGTGGAAATAGAGGAAGAGTCTTGGTCTTTGGATTCTGAGGTTGGGAAGCGACTCAACCAAATGATACCTATTGCTGTAAGTACATTTTCTTTGTGATGGTTTTTAGATCAACTTGTTAAAAGCCTATGTGACTGTAAGCCTTAAAAATCTTGATGTTGTGTTGCAGCATGTGCCGAAAATCAATGGGGATTTACCGTCAGAGGATGAACAGATTTCTGATCATGAACGCCTTTTTCAGAGGTATGTTATAGTTTTGATCTCAAATACAATCTAAAGGAAACTGCTTGTCACCTTTTTTTGTGGTTATGTTTATTCTTTTTTTGTAAACTGTTAGAACTTAGAAATGCAATTGGATCTCCAACCTCAAGTTTTATGGAACAAGCTGTTGTAGATGTTCATTGTTGTCTCAATAAATTCTAATTTTTGTGGGTTTAAGTCTCAGGTGGCTTCTTTCTAGTTACATTATAGAGTGATCAACCATTAATGGATAGTAATTATACACTTACAGATTACAGCTTTATGGCTTGGTGGAGAATAAGATACAAGGGGATGGAAACTGCCAGGTTGTTTTCTTCTCTGCTTCTCGTTTCTAGTTTATGGTCTTGCAGATGAAACTTATAGCAGTATTTGACTGACTGGTTTTTATATTTTTACTCAGTTTCGGTCACTATCAGACCAGCTTTACCGCTCTTCAGATCACCATGATTTTGTCAGAGAACAAGTTGTTAATCAGGTTGAGACTTATTACCGAGAAACTAATCTTTTGCCCTCAATATCAGCTTGCCTTTGATGATTTGACATTCTTTCATAATTTGTTTCAGCTTGCGTATAATCGAGAGATGTATGAAGGTTATGTTCCAATGCCGTACACAGACTACCTTAAAACAATGAAACGGTTTGAAACTCTCTTCTTTTTTTTGTAATCAATTCCTTTCACTGGATTAAACTGAGTTAAGCTTATTAGTAACCGTGAGTATTGATAACGTAGGAATGGAGAATGGGGTGATCACGTTACTCTTCAAGCTGCTGCCGATTGGGTAACTTACACAACCTAAACTCTTCATAGTTTGTATAATGTCTGCTTGTAAGAAGAACGGATCTTTAGGGACTCACTTGACATATGAAATGAAATTTCATATTTTGTTTTGATGTTATTGGCAGTATGGTGTTAGGATGTTTGTGATAACTTCATTCAAGGATACATGTTACATTGAGATTTTGCCTCATTTGCAAAAGTCTAATCGCCGTAAGTTTCCTACAACTGCATATATTCTTCTTTTAAACACTTATGTTCGGTAAAGTCTTTATTTTCTTCAACTTATGTTCAGTTATATGTTTAAGCTTCTGGGCTGAGGTTCATTACAATTCAATCTATCCTGAAGGAGGTATTATATAAACAACCGTGGCTTATGATGTGTTGAGTCAGTTTTAGATACAACTACTAATGAGTTTTAATCCCTCTTCTGTTGTTTGAACTTTTGTGTAGAGCTGCCTGAACCGGAAGGCAAGAAGAAGAAGAAATATTGGGTTTTCTGAGCTCTGTTTCTTCTCTGATGTGGAGCACAGAGTTGATGAAGTCTTGAATAATATTAACATGTTTTATTCTTTTAATTAACTTTAGTTGTAGAGAGCAATATGCTCTTGTACATACTGAACATAATCCCGTTGAGGCATATTATCCTTAGACTTATATAGTTTGCTCATTTGTTTCTTGTTTTAAGATTTACTTAGTTTTATATATGTGGGGATAAATCAATAAAGGAAAGGTTACAGCTCTTGCTCACCATATAACTCAGCTTGGTGTGTAATTACAGTATAGTAAAACTTCTATAAATTAATAATGTTGAGATTATATCAAATTTTTTTTTTTACTAATTTAGAAAGATATTAGTTTATCGATATATTAATCGAATCAAAAACTAAATTTGAAACTATAAAATTATATTATTTTGTAAAGATATTTAATATATATTAATTTATTGATTATTAATTTATAGAGTTCTATTTTAGTTAATTAAATGCAAAGAAAAAAAAATAATGCCACAAGTGTTTGATAATTGCAAAATATACTTCAGTATTGGGTATGGTTAAATATACTTCAGTATAAGGCCCATCAGAAATGTTTACTAGTTTCGTAAATGGGCTTTCCTCTGAGTTACGGTAAGACTTATATGGCCAATCATCGAATACGTAATTTGTTAGAGAATCGAGTAAACTTTAACAGAGACTTATGGTCTTTCCAAGTTAAATGTGTTCATGTATTGTTTTGTAAATAGTCACGATCAATTCATATACGTCAGAAATTTTTAAAATTGTATAAATATTGTATATATGAATATATAACATATATAGTACAATAACTTGATGAAGATTGTACTATGAATGAATTGCTACCATAAGCTCGTTATCTACCATGTGATATGTGTCCTTTACATTTTATTGGTACAACATGCTTCTACGTGTCTGATTCTGTTACACTTTCGTCATTTTGGCATGATTAAATTTTTGTGATTACCTTCTGAAACAATTGTCCAAGACAGGTCTATATTATTGAATAATGAGTATTGTGTTATATACATCTTGTATTCATCAAAGACAACTTCACCAATTAAGGATTCATAATAATGTATTTTATAGTTTATACAAACATATATATCCGAGGAAAACGTCTGAATATACAGGAGCATTTCTTTGCATTTTTCCTATCCAAAAGAAAACGAGAACTCTGGACATATAGTCCATGTAAAACATAGAAGTTACTATATAAGTGAATGTGTACATAGCAGTGTCAAAACGTAAGATACGAAAATTTGATTAAAACGAATAATTTATTTTCGGATCATTGATTGTTGTGTTAATAAATGTTTATGAATTCTGAATATCACTTTACCTAAGCTTTAAAATTTTAACACAAGTAAAAATAGAAGAATATATGTTAAGTTCATTTCACCTTTTTGGTAGGGTTTATAACAATATAAACAAAGATTTAGGTCAATTCAGAATAATAATATGAATGGACTTATGTGCACATTATACGGCCTGTATATTCGATATGTATATTAAAACTTGACAATAGCTTGATCGAAAACGATTTATTCTCCTTGACATATGAAAGAAGTATACCTATTCGTTATTACCATGAGAAGTCAAGTTGTCTAGTGTTAATATATAGAGGCAACTGAGACAAATCTAACTTTAAATGTGGTGAAACCAACTTGTCTTCTTTGTTTATAACCAAGGAAAAAATGTAGAGAACATAAAATAATTTAGTACCCATAGATTATCTTAACTTTCAGGATGTATTCTGAAAAAAAAAACTGTATACCGTCTACACTTGACCCCACTTATTTGGTATTGGACTGTAAACTGTAAACTGTATACCAATTGTTCTTTAATTACTTTTGGCCGAACAAAATGAGTATTTCGGATTGATAAACAACACTTGAGCATTTCTTAAGATAATACATAAGATATTCCTCATAAACTGTATATATACGGCGAGGTCATGTGGCCCCAGTGATGAAATCAATTGTTTCTAGAGGATGTTGGTTGGTTTTTATAGTATAGATTTTTTTGCCTCCAATAATTTTGGTGTTCGAAATTCTATATGCTGTGATAGATACTATGTTATTTTGTTTCAAACAGTAGATAAACTATTATTTTGTTATTAAGAAAATCTTAGACCATATAGTATAGTAACCTACTTACCCAGAGAGATCTGATATATTGTTACTAAGAGCAATGTATTGTGATGATCCCAAATCATCACCAACTCTTTTGACTCTTTACTCTTGCTATTTAACTTGCCTTTCATCAGTAATGCCAAAAGACAAACCAGCTCAAGTTTGTCCTTAATTGCATGCCCTACCGGACATAATATCTCCATAGATTCTCCATCTCTCTAATGGATTTTTGTGGGGAATCCACATTTTTCTTCCTTCACTTAAGTTGTTTTACTGTACAATGTTATATTAGCATGATAGACCAACTTCCACACTTTATAAAATGGATAGAAAATATCTAAAATAATTAAAACGCAATGTTCTTACAAGTTCTGGAAAAGTAAAAGACAAACCACCTAAAAATACAACGAGATAGATCCACATTTTTAACTGATTTCTTCAAATTGAGGCGATTGGTAACCATCTTTGGAAAGTATGGAACTGCACAAGTAGACATTGAACAGATCTGCAAGTAGGTGTATATATATATATATATGTTCAGAGTTTGTTGATGATTAATTAGCCCGCTATAATATGTAAAAGTAGACATGTTTGCGTGGGGTTGCTTTAAATTTTCTAATGATGCATCGATCACATGGTATGTATACATATAGATGTATCGAGTAAGTTTTTGATTTTTTACTGTAAATAATAATAGAGATTAGAGAGTGTATGACTTATGGTGTGCACGAGATAAACAAAGTAAATATTTAAACTAAAATGTACAGAGATTAGAGTGTGTTTGTGTGTAGTTATTTCGATCTACTATCAACAAGATAACTACACAAATTTTGATGTACTATCCTTTTGGTCCTAACTTCTTTCGAGAAAATAAATATTTAAACGAAAATGTGTTCACATGCTCTCTTCTTATTTTTGTTTTAGAAGTATATAAATTGAAAGCCAAGAGACAAATCTTTCTCAAGTTGAGCCACTTGAAAACAAAGTTATGGTACAATGTACAACACTCCATTATGTTTGATTTGATTTGGCATAAAAACCATATTTATAATATTACAAAATTAGAACAATAACATAAGTACGACAATAACTCAGAAACAGAAGTTTAAAACTATTAAAAAAAATTACAAGAGAGTCGTTGAACTGAGACTATAAAAATGTCTAGCGACGAACTTTGTATTATCACAGAATATTGCAAAGACATTCAAAGTGACCCAAGTATTCGAGCTTTGTTCAATATCTTGTTGTTCTTGATTAAAGGACCTTCTGATTAGAATGGGGACTAAAGCTGGAAATACAGTTCATATAATGCATGCTAAGATCAAAGACAATTTAATTTCCATTTCACATGTATATTTAACGCCCTAATTCGTCAAACAAATATATATAGCACACAAAAAGAATGTGACATGTATATATAAAGCTGTCAAACATGTTCACTCACAAAACAAAAAAGATTAAAAGTAATCAAGAGAGATTCAAGTTTTTACCGTTTTCTTACCGAAGATCCAAACTTCATTTAATAACATCTTCGGTTTGTCTCTGTAGCTTTGGGTATTTGGTAGCCGTCCGTTGTTGATGCAGCATCATCAAGATTCTCATATACATATATCAAAACCCTAATTAACTAATATAAGATTAGGGGTTTTTTCAGTTTCCATGTGAATCTTAATGGTGCTGCACCTACAAAAAACGACTGATGAACTTTCAACCACGGATCTATCAGATTTACATCCACAACACACACTCAAGATCGATCTAGTATATATTATTGTATACGAAATAATAGAACAAACAAGAATTTGATTGAATAATCAGAAATAATAATCGTAAATTAAATAAGTAGAAAGATCTGACTAATCTTTTCTATTTGAGAAGATGAAATATGAAGGAGAAAGGCAGTGGGACGAGCAAAGTAGATATAGGTGTGAAGTTGAGAGAATACGTTCCAGAATCCAAGGGCTGACGTGTCCACTTGTAAATGGTTCGTTTCATCATCATAGGAATAATACTGAATAATCTGTTTCTAGACTGTAAAATTGCAAAACTAAAAAATGCATGAAAATGATGGGAAGATATGATAACTAATATCTAATACTGACTGGTTAGTTATTTTCCGATCTGTCGAAGTCTCAGACACAGCAAACCAAACTTGTAACTTTCTATCATAAATGCTTATCTAATTTTAAAATTATATATTTATGAGAGAAGAGTACAAATTTACGTGCATAGGTATGTATAGGCACAAGACTAGTTAGAGAGGGAGTGAGAGGGGCAAGTGAAGAAGAGGCCTGGAGTGAGGTATTTATAGCTTAAGGTAAATTTAACCGAAAGGAACCGAACCATATTTGTGGTGGCATAGTTCATTGTCTCTAAACCGAACAAGTTCTATACAAATTATCATCCATATTTTTTATTGAGAAAAAGAGATTCCTTATATATACATATTAAACTTTTGTATAAGTATTATAAACAAAGAGGTATATTTCTTTAGATATTTGATATGGAGGTGTTAATTTACATGTTGTAGTTTCTATTATACGTTCATTTTCTCTTTTTTTTTCTTGCTTAAACTCATCCTTGAGATTGAATATGAGTGTGTGTGCCCGTACTGCAAATATATTGGTCTTGAACTGATAAGTTCAGCACGTTCTCCGAAAAAGAAGGATCACCGTGCTATATATTAATTTCCTAAAGTATATAAATTCATGAATAAATTTAGGACGAAGGTATTGATTTGCATCTCTGATAAAAAACACTCCATATATTACAAAATTTCTGGGATAACAAATTATTTCCAGATGATGGTGGGTTTTGACTTATCGTTGAGAGTCTCGGCCAAACTAGAGCATTAGTGGGTGTATAAACTACATCGACCAATAGGATAAACAACCAAGTTTAATACGCATTGACTTGGAGTGAGTGCGTATACACGTAAAGTGCTCACGGCAAGTTGATAAACCTAGTACACTACACATCAACTAAGAGAGATTCCTAGTTTCCCACACTTTCACCTGAAGATCATCAAAAGCCACAAGACTGTATAAAATTAGAAACCAGAGCCACAATTTATATTACCACTTTTGTTCTTTACATTCTATTAATTTTAAAAATTCAAAAGAAAATGGACAAAATGTCTTTCATTCTCACGGATCCCACTTTTTCTTTCTCTCTTTTGTCATGAAAGTGATGTCTTTTCTCATAAAGCTGGTATATTATTATTGTTTGTAGCTTTGCTTATGTGTAAAACTTAATACTAATACAAAAATAATAATAACCACAACAACAATAAAGAGAAACAAACTTGCACTAAGCCACTAACTAGATAATACTAGTATTTATGTTCGGATAAAGTGCTGGTCTGTAATATAATACTAGTACAGTACTAAAAATCATATGCAGGAAGTTACCATCAATTTGTTTGTTGCTTCATTAAACATGCTATTAACTGTGGAACTTTTTGGTATTTACGAAAAGTTTAGTGTACTTTGATAACATATACTCCGTATAATCAAATCAAGTCTTGGTTGTCTTCTATGCACCACTAGTTTAAAAAACTCAGAATATGATTCATCCATGAACCATGTTCAAACTCCAGCATTTAGTAAGATATTAGAAATTGTTACAAATACTCAACTTTTTAAGAAAACATTTAATAGTTGGCAAATGGCATAGAAATAAAATTTGCAGACAATTATTTTGTTATCGACCAATATATCATGGCAGACAACCTGGTACCTTTGCGTCGGTCCACGTTTTCATAGGTCATATTTGGTTTTACACTACATGCTCAGTATTTTATACTAACATATTTTCTTAGCACAAATTCAATATAGTATTAGGTCATATTTGGTTTCAAATTTTATACTCAAAGCTCGATCAAGAGAAATCACAGTGGGAATGTATATATATACGGTATTATATTTTTATATTTTCAATTTGCTGGAATCCCTCGGATGTGTACAAAAGAATATTGTATTAGGTTAAACAAATGTAAGTTTTAAGCACCAATCGGAATAATATCCATTAATCTAATCCAAGTTGGTACTGAGATATTATATAGTTTTATTTATTTATGTTCGATAATACTTGTTTTTCAGAATCTTGACAGCAAAGTTAGTAGTTTTAAAGCAAACTTTTTCAAACTGTTTAGTTTGTAGATGTGCGAATGACGACATGTTTATCTATAATCACAACTTATTCCTTCGATGGTAATTAATCTTACAATTAAACAAAATATTTCAATTTCAAGCAAAAGAAAAATATCCAACTTTTAGAAAACAACTTCTCGAAATTTTAAGTTCTACAATGATCTATCTCATGAATATAATCTTATATTCCTTTTGGAAATAAATTTTTATTTGGCCACACAAATTTGAGTACTACGAATATTCCTTGTTTCTTTTCAGTCTTGGTTAATCTGTGATTGTGGGTCATTAGACTCATTACACATGTCCACATGGGAACCTGGATATTTATAACTAAATGAAATGATTACTATTTCTTAACTTCGTAAGCTGTATGGAAGAGCTTCATTTTATATATTTATACGCAAGAAAGTGAAGTTTGCATAATACTTTTACCCGCGAAGTGATTGTTCATGATGTTTATAAATTATAACCCGTACGTCATGGACTCATGGTATTTATAATTTTCTCCATAAAATCTGGAGCTTTCGGTTTACTGAATATTGAAGCTATGTAAAAAGATGAATAATACAATTGAACAATTTTCCATCATATTATATGTACTAACGTACTAGGATATGGTAGGATATAATGAATACTTTAGAAAACAAAGTTGGGTCAAATGATGAATACAGTTCCGCTAGATTGTATTGCTCCAAAACTGTGGGCTGGTTAAAGCTATTTTATTGATTAAAGCGTCATTAGGTCATCTAAACATATAGTGTGACTTGGATCTCACGCGGAATCAAGCTTCTGATATTCTAATTAACTTTAAAGTTAAAGACAAAATTGTGAGAAAGAAATAAAATATATTTATCAACTAAAAATATTCGCACGAAAATTTTGGTATAATCATAAAGTTAAAACTAGCAAAGATAATTTAGTGGACTAACATGTATGTTTGGTTTGTTAGCGTATACCTCATTAACAATGTCTAAAACTTTGGACTTTGAAAATAACTTTTCATCTGCAATGAAAATAATCCCTCAAATCCTTTAAAAAATTAAAAGAAAATGTTCCATTAACAATAACAACTAGGTGTAGTACGCGCTGTGTGCAAGGTGAAAACTTTATAGATTATATATTGTACATTATATTTATAAATTTGCCGTATAACTTTTTAGGTATAAAATATTCATATATCAATGTACAAAATGTTCCATTAACAATAACAATTAACAACGTCAAAACCCTAAACGACCATTAAATGAGAAGATGAATTTGTTGGAAAACATGGAAACTGACTGAATACAAATGAGTAAGAGTTTGATTTTAGTTGGAACTCTGAGTTTGACACTTTGACTCTTCAAATAAGTAATCTAAATCAGATTTACCTCTAAACTAATTATTGTTAACTGCTTAAATCTTAAGTTAGAAATTTGTAAAGAAACATGACTTCCATATTCATTGGCTAAGATGTTTTGTAATGTATTAAAACTTCAAGCTGTTATTAATAAAAAAAAAAGCTGGTAAAATGTGAGCTTAACCAAACAAGCTTAAAATTTTAGGCCCATAAAGGAAACTAATACGGGCTTGGCTTGGGCCTCATTTATTCTGTGTGGCCTAACACCTCAACCACCTCTTAGGGTTTCTTACACTTTATCATTAATATTTGACGGCGAAGGAAACAAACAATTCACGATTCAGATAATATTTTCCGAAATTCGCAGCTTCGTTAACAAAAGGAGAAAGCTAAGAAGAGGTAAGACGAATCAATTTCGTATATGTAATTCTCTGCCGTAGACGAAGTCTTTGTGTTTTTACTCAATTTTTAGGATTTTTTTTGTTGCGGATTTAACCTAATTACTGCTTTTTTCACGAATTGAAGATGGCGGCGGCGAAAGAAGGAAGCAGGATATTCGTTGGTGGTTTATCACCGGAGGTGACAGAGAGAGACCTTGAGCGAACTTTTAGCCGTTTCGGTGACATTCTCGATTGTCAGGTACCTTTTTTTTTTAATCTAATTTAATTTAGATGTTTTATCTATCAAAAATTAGCTTAGGTACGTTAAATATCTGTTATTTTTTATAGAATTTAACATGATACAGTGATCAATTTTGGAATTTTTAAGTTATGGATGCTTAATTTGTGAAATTAGTAAAATTTGAAGTAGCAATTAGATGAATAAGAGCAGAGATGTGTGGATTTTTGTTTATAAAAAAAAATCGTTATCCTCTTTTTACCTATTTGATTGTTTTTTTTTCTTTCTTTTTTTGTGTTGTTCGTGAATGCTGGTAATGTGCCACTGATATACTGTAAATTGATGAATTAGGGTTGACATTGATAAAAGCTACAATGGGTGAAATTTGAGAAACTGCTCTGTGTGTTTAAAAGAATAAAACTGCCTCAGATTTTAGGATACACAGTAACAGTTTACTTCATGGGGGTTTGTTTCACGAGGTTGAGACTGTGGTAACAGCTTACTTCAGTTTCTTCTAGTGTAGTCTTTGACTTCTCTTAAGTATGCATCACTGGGTTACCGGTTCCTTCCTGAACTTATCCTTGTTGCTGCCTCTTTTATTCTGAGGGGAGAGCTTTAGGAAGAAGCGCTTGCGTTGCGTCTTTTATTTTTTGTTTAGCTGGGATGCCTTGACTTTATTATGAGTGGTGAATTGAAGATGCTACTCAGTTTAGGTCAGTGTCACTGTCACCTTTGCCCTTCCGGTGGATGAAGACACATAGTATCCATAGACCAAACGTGTTGTAGCATTGATGTCTGGATCGGTCAGCATTTCAGCTGTCATGTTGCAAGATTTCTATTTCTTCCTGGTACCTTGAGCCCCAGTGCTGACGTTGGAACTGCAGAACGAAATTGCACCAGTTGAAGAACGTCGCTTCTAATACCGTGTGTTAACTTTTCCTTTCATTTTTTTTCTTCTTCTCCAAGCCTAAAATATACCCTTACATATAAATAATCGCCCAACTAAAAGATTCTTGTGCGTAGGCCACACATTTTTAGATCCTCATACCCCAGTTCTTTGCGCTTATCTATTCCGCATGTTTCTGAAATCTGATAAAGTTCGTTGTGTGAGATGGAGTTTTGTGTTTCTGATCTGTGGGTTTTGGGGCTTTGGAATGAATTCAGCTGGATCATTGCCAGATGATATCTGCATACTGAGAAGAAACAGATGTTAATCAAGAATATTGAGTACTGTCAGTTCGGTAACTTCCTTCTGTCTGTAAAACTTCCTCTCTTAAAAGTTGTTGAAAATAGGGATTGACTAGTAGTTTTTCGAGGGGATTAATTCAGGGAGTTGTCATTTTGGTCTGACGAAAATATGTTAGTGGTGTGCTGCTTCAGAGTTTCTGAGGATCTCTAGTGTGTTTTGCTCTGAAGTCGAGATTGGTTGACAATTTACTGCAGAAAAGACAGGATAAGTGTTATGAAGTAACTCTTATTTCAGATGGATCTTTCTTGGCAGTGACATAGACTTGATATGATACTTTCAGATTTTGCATATGTTTCATTTTTCTACTGCTCTTCTGCTCAGTTTGTAGCATATTCGTTTGGGAAATCAGCTTTTGTGGTGTGATGTGTTGTGTATAGATCATGATGGAGAGAGATACCGGTCGTTCACGTGGATTTGGGTTTATTACCTTTGCTGATCGCCGTGCTATGGATGAGTCCATCAGAGAGATGCATGGAAGAGACTTTGGTGATCGGGTCATCTCAGTGAACAGAGCTGAGCCGAAAATGGGGAGAGATGATGGGGATAGTCATGGCTCTAGAGGTGGCAGAGATGGTGGGTATTCATTGGCTGGAAAGGGAAGCTTTGGTGGAGGTGGTCGTGTTGGTGAAGATGAATGCTTCAAATGTGGAAGGGTTGGGCACTGGGCCCGTGATTGCCCGTCTTCTGGTGGTCGTGGTGGACCCGTTGGTGGCTTTTCATCCCGTGCTGCATATGGAGGATCTGATGGACGTGTGGACCGTTATGCAGACCGTGAGCGATATGCAGACCGTGAACGTTACATAGATGATCGATATGATGGTGCTCCACGCTTTAGTGCTAGAGACAGGTTTGACAGCAGGGAAGCTTACATCCCCCGTGATCGATACGCCAGTGACAGGTTATATAATCTTAACAACTGTTGTTTGCATATTTCAGATTGACTTGCTTCTGTTGCATTTGCATGAAGTGAAAATCCTCATGCCGGCATATTTACTTTTGTTACAGGTATGCAGCCCCGGTTGATCGGTTTGCTGGCGGGGATAGATACAGCCGTGGAGCAGACCGTTACCCTCCAGCGAGTTATGACAAGCCTCGGTCCTTTGAGAGAGACGTAGTCCCGAGTGGAGGCAGCGACAGGTATGGTGGTGGTAGAGCTGGTGGGCCTATACGTGGAGGAGACGAGGGAAGAGGGTTTAGAAGCAGAGCCAGTGGTCCATATGAGAGGCCGAGCCGAAGCAGTGGTGGTGGTGGTGGTTATCCATCGTCCGGTACTTTTGACCGTTACTAAGGCAAGAATGAATGAAGAAGTGAATGATGCTGGGTTAGGGTTATTTACATTCAGTCTTGTGTGTGTGCGTATGTGGTAATGAATATCTCTGTAAGCGTTCTTATATGTAAAGACTTCTTTCATGTTATGTTAGTTTGGAGAACTGATTAGCTTTGTATCTTGATATTTTATTTGGTTTGTCTCTGGTACAATTACAATGACTTTGAGCTTCGAGTTTTGTCCTGTGTTTAAATCACTTATCCTGAGAGTAGACTTGTAAGTAGTTGTCACTCTCTATCTAAGTCTTAAGCCCAAGTTTAGTTGAACGACATGATGTGTCTCTTGATAATCTCTTGGGCTTCATTTTCATTACGTTTCTCTTATCTTATTATGTATGAATGGTTGGTTACTACTTGTGATTCTAGCCCATCATTGCTTAGTTTATTCATACACATACTTCGCATTCAAACAGCATTTTGTTCTGTTTAGTTGATTAATTGATGAAGACACTGAACATTATAGAAGGAAGAAGACAACCTTCTTGAAGTTGACTTGGTACCTAACTTAATCTCCTTTTTTTTCTTAGTTAGCTCCCATTTTTAAGTCACAATTATATTGTAGCAACTAAAAAAAAAATAATGAAAGAATAGCACATACACTATGTAAAAAGATTCCTCCAGCCAATTGATAAGGGACCAAAAAGAGTTTAGCCATCAAACAAGAATAAAATTTCTTTATATATTTCCACCATATTCTACAACTTGCAAATGCATGTGTGGTATATATATTTTACTCTATATTTTAATATGTATGTATATTCTTCTTCTTTTTTTTTTGATAGTTTATATACCGTTAAAATAAATAGTGAAACCACCTTGAACCAATTATGAAGTTGTCACCTCCTATGGTGTGGAAAATACCAAAGTAACAAGATGATAGTGAATACAATTGACCAGACTTGTCCCGGTCTCAATGCCGCCGCCGCCGCACTAGAATTGCTACCGAATATCATTGTGAAAAGGCCATCATCGCTGTCGCTGCCACCGCCTCCGGGTCCACCTTTACTGTAACCTCGTGTGACGGTCCCACCACCGCCCGTGATTCCGGGAAAACCTCCTCCTTGCCCGTTTCTCCCACTACACCAACCAAACCATATCATCAACAGTTAAAATCATCATAATAACATGTTAATAAAAAATCATCATACTAACAATATTGCTATCATAATCATGATTCGTTTGAACGTGTTGTGTCGACTGTCGAAAGATACTAACAGTGACATGAGTCTTTGATCTAAATGGACCAATCAATGTAAAAAGCTCAAAAGAGAGAGTAAAGACGAAAACAAGTTGCTTCATCACATGCATGCTTTACATTTTATTTTCATATGTTAGAGTTTATGATTTATATGTTTTAGATTTAATTCTAGCCCGATCAAATAAATTGGAAGTTCTTTTTTTTCCAAGTAAACTATACTTTTAACAAAATATTGTGACAAGTGAAAAAAATATATATATATTGTGACAAGTGAAAATAATCAAACTACCTCTTTGGTATAACTAATCTAATTTCCTAAGTTAGCCCACTATAATTAACTATCAGCCGGTATTGGTTAAATAGATAACCGGTAGTTTGACAAGGAATATCGAACTTTTGACAGCAAGACGGCTAAGAGAATCCACCATCCTTCTTGCATACTTTACTTTTATAAAAGAGGGTCAAATGTAAACTTTTATCTCAATTTAACTATCAAAAAGATCAAATGCAGCAGCAAGTAGGTCATGGAGAATCATACGTATATATAGATATTGTGACTACTTAACCAGATCATTTAAGTAGATCGAATATATATATTATATAGTCTTCGAGAAGGCCCCACTGTGTATTGTTTTTTTGTTGCTGGAAAGCAGATGATTAAACAAGGGAATATATATCACGAATTAAGAACCCTTATTTACTTATACGTATAATATATATATGTTTTTTTGTTTAAAAAATATATATATGTCTTATCACATCCAATACTAAAGTCAAATTTAATGGTCCACTTGAGCCGATAATCAAACCCTAATTAAATGTGACTTCACACACCTTCAAGGTGTGAAGAACTATTTCACAAGGAAATGAATCTTTTTTTCCTTCTTCCTAAAGTTCTTCCAATTTGGGGGGTTTAGATAATTAGATATATACCAAGTTGCTAAACAACGAACCACTAAACCCTATATTGGCAAAGAACTTGCTAATAAAGACATGAATATCTTTGAATTTATTTTATTTTATTTTATAGGTTAGCGGGATTTGAAGATATACCATGTCGTCCAACAAAGAATTCACCAAACCCTAATTTGGTGAAGAAATAGTGATAAGGAATGAATATTGTAATAGATATTTCATTTGTTATTTTGCATGTATAAGAGGAAATACGGCAAAGCATCAAGAAAGGCATATAGATCAGACACTATAGAAAGGCTTTTCCGTTTAAGATCGGAAATCTTTTAGAAATTTAGATCTCTGATCCACAAGATCAGCACGTGTGAGTTATAAAATGGTAAAAGCTGAGCTTTTTCGTAACATGAAAAATACTTTATGCATGTTCATGTTAACGTCATGGTTTTCTTTGTTGCCATTCCGGAAATATCTTTACCACTTTGATGTGCAACTCACTAACTTTTTAATATCCAAAACATTTATGGCATGCATACATTCATGTTTCTAATTTTTTTTTTCAAAAATGAAAAGAAAATGTATCACTCTCTGCGTCATAAAATATACACTCTAAGAAAATATTTATTTATATTAATCTTTTGAAAATCCAAGTTAGGTAAAGCGAAAGTATAGAAATATATCACAAATATAAAACCCCAACTTGCACTCATTTTTGTAATTATTAATACCACCAAATTTTTGAATTTTCACACAATGAAAGAATTAGGTGTATACTGCCAAGAATGATATAAATATTTTTTTCTTTAAAAATATTGATGTTATTTTCAATTAATTGTGTCAAAAATAACTAAAAAAATAATGACCTATTTTATAAAAAAGAATTCAATAAAGAATATAAGGACAAAACCGTAGCAAGAAAGATGCTAGTTTGGGTGGATGAAGCAATACTGGAGTAGATAACATGATTAACATTATACCTGGGATCACCGAAAACGCCGGCATTGACCGTGAGCTGGTCAATAACATCAGCAGTTTTTGCCTGAAGACTAGTGGCTCGTGCGAACGCCGGACTCACTCCATCACCTGACGGCACGAAGAAGGCTCCGTTAACCATAACATCTCCTTCCGTCCTCCAGTTCCATTTCCCCCAGTGTTTCTCGTTTGCGTCCACACGCTTCGTTACCTATCACAAAAATAACATAGCACATGAGAACAACGACAACATCAAAACCATGTCACCGTGACATGGCCCATTATTTCAGACACGTCAGAGAAAAAAACATAGTGTCCACACCAAACCATATCCAGTTATAAAAAAGAATTCAATCTTTAGCAAAATATCCACCAAAAAATAAACATTATCTTCAACATAATTGGTTTAATTTTTTGTCATAAATTAAATACCGTTTTAGAGTTTCAGGGCAAAATTTATTAATTTTATATAATACTCGATTTTTCTATTGTTTAAAAAGTGATTATGTGTATAAATAATTGTGTTTTTAGTTTAAAAATATGTAAAAACCTAAAATGACAACTAAAGTGAAACAGAAAAAATAATAAATAGACGAATTAAGAGAAATATTAACCTCTTTAGCATTGGGATCAATAGGTGCAGTGTAACGGTTACCCTGACTATTAATCGTAGGGTTTGCACTTCCACCAATTGCATACATCTCCCATGCAGTAAAATCGTTGTTCACCACATGAATATAACCATGTCTGCACCGTGGCATCCTCTGCACTAGCCCCTCCCCAAAATGGTTGAACGCAATCGTCACTTGCATCCCCGAGTCCGCCGTATACCTTTTTAATACACAATACCCAAAAAACTGGGTTAAATTGATAAATCCAAAACTTTCATGCTTTAATTTAAAAGGCAATAAACTTAAGGGCCTTTTTTCGCGGGAAATAATTAACCTGTCGTCGTGACCTAATAGCATAACTTCGTCGTGGTGATGAAAATAGTTGTTAGACACTGTAACGGCCGTTGATGCTAAAATAACATCTATGAGTCCATCGGAACAGTAACCAAGAGAGCAATGATCGATCCAAATGTGATGCGAAGCTGAAACAGAGATCCCATCTCCATCAGAGACTCCTCTGAACCCAACGTGAGTTGGCGAAGAAGCGACTAAAGTGTTACCGGAAGGTTTACAGTGGTGAATGTGGACGTTGTGGATGATGACGTGGCTCACCTGCTGAACCGTCAAGCATCCGTGGCCGGTGATCTGGACGTTCGTGCCACGTCCGTCGACGGTTTTGTAGCTTCCGATGATGAGCTCGTGTCGGAGTGTGATCACCATGTCGCCGGAGAAGATGATCCAGAGAGGCTCCGGTTGAATCACGGCGTGGCGGAGGGTTCCGGGAACTGGGTTCGCCGCGTCGTTGTCGGAGGGATCGGTGACGAGGTAAAAGCGACCGCCTTTGCCGCCGAGCGTGCCTTGTCCGAAGCCTATTGAGCAGTCGGCGAGGCGTTGGCGGTTTTGAGACCAGTTTGGGTCGCAGCGCCAGCAGTCGTCGATTGGGTTTCCGGTGAGGCAAGAAGGTATCGGCGACGTGGCGTCGTTTTGTTGGTATGTGAGGAGGTTTCTTCTTGAGAGAGAGTCGTTGAGTTTTCTGGAGATGATAACAGAGGATGTTAAAACAGAGAAGTAGATGATCCTCTGTTTTTAAAACAGAGGATTTTTAGTCAACAGGGCCAAAAAGGTAAAATGCAAGAGAAAGGTTGTACCTTTGAACATTGAGAACAACATGTTCAGGGAATGGGTGTTGATGTGGGAGGGAAAGATTGATGGAAGATGAGAAAGATGCTCTTCCATGGTGAAGGAGAGAGACCAGGAGGCAGAACCAGATTATACAAATGTATGTTGGTTTCTTATGAGCCACCATTATAAAATGTCCTCTTCTCTCCCCCTCTATAATTTATCCCTTCTTTCTGAAAAAAAAAAGATCAGACAAATCAGGAAACAGAAGTTTCTTAAATATGGTTTTATGGGGAATTGTGCAAATTAGGGTTTATATAATAAACAAGGGTCAAAAAAAATTTAATAGTGTTTTCTTCCTCTCTCTAATCTCTTTCTATAGTTTGTTTCAAGTAGAAGAAAAGAAGTTTAGAGAGAGATGGAAACATTGTGTGAAGGCACAGAGAATTAGGGGTGGGCACGGATCGAATATCCGGGTTTTCGAAGGTATTTGTGATTTGCTTCGTATGTTACGGATATCTGATTTTGGTATTTGCTTTGCTTCGGAAAAATACGGATATCCGGAAAAACGGATATCCGGAAAATAAACAGATATTTGCGGATATTTACGAATACTTACGAATATCTCATCCGTTACAATAATCTTATATAAATTTATTTTTTAAATTTTTTTTACATGATATATAAAATAAAAAAATAAAAAAGTAGTGAATTTACATATTTTATAATTTTTTTATGTTTAGTTAACAACTATAATAACACAAAACNATATATTTATATATTTCCGGATCGGATCGGATATCCGCTTCCCAAAATTTTAATATTTGTGATTTGCTTCGATTTTTACGAATATTGATTTTTAGTATTTGCTTCGATTCGAAAGTTTACGGATATCCGGAATTTTCGGATCAAATCGAGACGAATAACGAATCGAATCAAATTTAACGAATAAAATGCCCAGCCCTACAGAGAATCTACTTAAAAACTCTTTCTCTCTCTTTCCTCCATATATGATTCTTACTTTTGTAGGAGTGACTCAGTTACCTGCATTATCAATAATCTAAGACATATCCCTCTCCCTGAAACAATCTTTCTATGGATTTGATGCCATTAAACATAGGACAAGTTACACAAATATTGTAATTCGCGTTACATAGATAAGCATATACATTTAAAATGATATTTACCTCTAAACGAAGGAAATTAAGAAAATACTCTTTCACGAAGATTCTGGTTTGATTGGAGCACACCAAGAGCACAAAACCTTTTTTTTGGGTCCAAAAATCATAAAGAGCAGAGTTGCTCACCAATACGATCTTTATCGGAATATCTCTTTCCAAAGAGTTATAGTTAAATTTCCATAAATACACTCTTCCTAATTAGAAATTTTCGTTTCGCAATCTCTCAAAATGGAAGCTTGACATTTTTTGAAAATTCTTGCTCAAGAAATTCCTTGCAATTTCTTTAACCGTTTTAGTTTAGGGAACTTTCTTTATAAACAAGTTTAGAAACATGAGATGAATTATTAATCTTTTAGTTAAAGATAAAATTGAGAGTTCTGTCGCGGGGGGTTAAAACTTAAAACACAAAGGTAACTTTTTAATACAAAAAGTAAACTTTTTGACGATTCCTTTAAAAAGTTTTAAAAACATTCATATTCGATTCTTTTTGTTACGCATCATCAATTAGTTTTTATTTATCTGATGCAAAAATTCATTTTCACTCATCTCGTGATTAGCTGGTTTATGATCCAAAGCTTTTCTAATAAATGGAGTAAAAACTAATATATAACAAAAAGGCATACCAAATAATTAATCAAGATTGATACAGTTATAGTTTACAAAAACGATCATAACTATCCTATGACTTAAGTCACATGATCGAAGTCGTAAATTTCACATCAAATCATTTCAGGTTTAGTGACTGCATATTCAACGCGAATTTGCATTTAAAAACATTACTAATCTCATTACCAAAAAAAACATAACTAAGCTAAAAAAGACTAATGATAGCTTAAAGATATGGAACATGATCCTCCATTATTGTTGTCTTGAATTTTCTTGAAGTAAAGGTGAAAGAAAAAGAACATATTAATCAGTCGAACTTGACCTTTGAATATATTTTTACCTACTGCATAGTCAACTATGTATTACTCGAATGTTTTTAAGGAAACATGATGAATCGAATTCGTGAATCTATTTAGCTATTACTCGTCAAAGGTGGCGCTCCCAGCAACTTGTCTGCGTTCAAATGTTTGTTGCAACTTTAGTATAGGTTATGGAGAACGTAGCCAAAGATACGAACAACATGTTGAAACTGCGAATAAAATAAACGTACTTGAATAAGACAGGAACACAAAAGGAAATGGTGTACAAATAATTCAATGAAACCGGCTATATATAAAAGATTTGTTGAGGAAAATATTATAATTTTATCTTTTCTTTGGTGAGATTCTAGGTTAGCCTGACATTGTTTCCCGCTCGATAATCCCTAGTTATCATGGTTTAAACGAACTATTGTTATATGCTTGATCGTTTATCACAGATTTTTTACTACATGGTTCATCTTGCTTCTTCTCTCTGTGTCTGGAAGTACGTAAACGTAGGCCTTTAGAATATGATACATATATAAAATTAGCTCTTGAAATGCTCCTCGTGCCTAGTGGTGGTGTTGCTTCGTTGCGTTAAGCTCGGCACATAGAAGGTTCGGAGAGTCTGGTAATTTTTATTGTGGTGCTATGTTGAATAGTTTACGTGCCGTGCAATGTTTTCTGATCCTTTTTGAATATGTAGAACAAATTGTGAATTTTTTTTTGGTTATTTCAAATATAACCGGAGTTTCCAGCTCTTATGGTAAAGGATTCACAGTTCTGAATATCATCACCTGGATTTGAATCCAACCACTCAAAATGCTTTAAATGATTAGAAACTTAAATTTAACGTGTCTCGTTTACGTTTAAAAAATTTTAGGTTCACACCATAGTTATAAAAAAAAATATTATTTCAAATAACTTTTGAAATTCTTTTAAACTTGTAGTCAAGAAAATAATTTAAATGGTTACAAGGATATAATTTTCAGTCAATTTTTACCCAATTCAGTTAATGTTTACCCAAAACTTTTATAGTTACAACTTACAAGGATCTATAATTTTCAGTTTAAATGTTTACAAACCAACACGACAGAGTAATATGTCGTTTAACTTGAATCGCATAATAACTTGACGGTTTTACCCTCAGAAACAGCCGTCGTCGTAAATCCCCCCCTCGCTCTCAATTCAAACATTCCGATCCCGTCTTAGGGTTTCTCTCGCCGCCTCCCACCATGAGCTCCTTGACGGTTCTCGAAGATGACAATCACGCTCCTCATCAAGGTTCGAATCCCGATCTCTCTATGTAATTCACTTGGGAGTCTACTGCTCACTCACAATCACTCTCATTTGCTGAAAATTTCTTCGATTCTAGGGTTTAGATTCCGTTTTGTTAGAATTGTTATCAGCTGGTAGATTAGTGTTAGGGATTTAACGATCACAGTGGTGAAATTTTGGCAGAGGTTGCTATTCGTAAAGGAAGAGGGAAGGCGAACGTTGTGATGAACAGTGCACAGAGGAGAAAACTTGCGGATATAAGCAATTTGAACAGAGAAGAGACGCATCAGCAACAGAATCTTCTCTTATCTTCCAAGGAATACGCTGAGAAGCTCCAAAAGGCATTCCCCTTTCACTTTTCATCTTCTTGTTGTGATTCTGGCTGATAGTGTTTTGCTGATTTTTTTTTTCCAGGAGAATATGACTTTGATGAAGGCTCTAGCACACAGAAAGTATCCATTCTTGTTTTTACTCTTTAACAATATGTAGGTTTATGAGTTTGATTTTTGTAGTAATGGTGTTTTTTTGTTTATGTGGCTTCAGTAAGATCATAGAGCTGAGCGGTGTTGAGTTTCAGAAACTGAAGATCAACTTAAGGAAAGTGCAGGAGAATAATTTGCAGCTTGTACAGGCAAACACTCAGATGTTGGCGGTGTGGATTCCCATCTTTTCTATAGGCTTCAGTTTTTGAGATGATTTTGAGAGTATTTGTAACTCTTAAGTATGTTTTTTTTTTTCGTGACAGGAACTCAATACAAACAAAGACAGAGTATGCTGAAGTTTCTCAAAACGAGGCTTTCTTATTTCACATTATATGACAACTGACATTGTGTATTTATATTTTCAGCTGAAGCTACTTCAGCATGAACTTGGCTGCAAGAATGTATCACTCGGGGTGAAGAAAGTGCAGCTTGAGGCAAGTCTTCTACTCATTTCGTAGATTTCCCTTGATTATAGTTACTAAACATTGTAATAAACTTGAGAATTTTTCATTCATCTACTTTTTTCCAGGAGCAAGAACCTTTATGTACACATCACCCATCGAAAGATAAGGTGCTTACTTGAATTTTTCTGGGTAACATTTCGAAAATATGAAATTATGTACTTTTAGTACTACAATTGTTTTCACGCTATTTGACTTTCTCAAGCTTCCATCAAACGTTTCTGATGGGGATTGCATATCCTTTCAGGGGATTGACATGAATGATAAAGACACCAAGAGAAAGCGAACGTCAAGGATAAAAGGTAAACTGTTTTTCTTAGATTCATTCTTGATCTAGAAACCCTTTTTGCATACTTATCATACATCCTTTCATTTACAGCCTCCGAAATCTCTATCGTAAAGCCAATACAGTTCAAAGAGAAGGCAAACAGTAAAAGGTCCAGATCTGCCTCATGTTTATTCTGTGAAAGCTTTTGGCAGTCAAGTAAACCTGAATTGGTATTGTTTCGTTTGTAGGAAAGTTTCTGGAGTCATTGATACTACTGTTATTCCCGAAGTGACTTGTCAGACTGGAGATGACACTGAAAAGGGGGTTGACTCTCAAGGAGCAAACCAAATTGTTGACAATATTGCCAACCAGAAGTTTGTTAATGATGCAGCTAACTCGGTAAAAGCCAGTGTGCATAGCAAGAGGTTCTTATATCTAGTCCGAGAATTACATTTTGTATATATCTTCCAAAACAATTGGAAGACAAGAATATCTTATTTGGGCTTTAATTCCTTTGTCTGGTTGTTTTCTCTCAGGCAATGCGGACGAAGGAAATCTACCAGGTTTGCTGTTCAAGAAACTGAACATACGGAAACATTGATTGAGATTGATGATGCCAAAGAAATTAAGCTAATCCCAAGGTTGGTTAGTTAGTGTTCTTTGTCCTCTTCCCACTTTTATTACGTACGTTGTTGCAAACTATGAATGGACAATAGTGTATTGGACTGACACTGTCTCCGTTTCGAGCAGGCTCTCTTTGAAAAGACGGTCTGCTCGGTTAAGGCCCGAAGAAGCTGAAACAGGTAAAAGCTTCCATGAGAGAGACTTAGTCAGGGAGACGACCAAGAGGAGAAGGTTTGTTAGCTTAACTTCTTATTTACAAGTAGTATCACTATAAACAATGCATTGAAGGTCACTAATTTCTTGTATAACTGAGCAGAGTCTCTTCAAGACAAGTGTCTGCAATGTTTGATTTCCAAGAACCGGAAGTGACGGAAACCTTGAATGCTGATGATGCAGGGTTTGTTGAAACATATCGTTTTAGTTTTTTGATTGATAGCATATAAAATTGTGTTAGCTGAAACCACTTGCGTTTTCACTCGTGGATAATATTTCAGAAGCTTAGTAAGCGAAGGATCAAGATCTGAAGCTGTAGAACCATCTGAAAGCAGACATGACACAAAAAATACAAACGGGAAACGCAGGTTTGTACAGTGACCTTCCTTTCCGCTGACGAGTTTAGAGTCTTAGTGATGTAATGTGATTGTTATCTTTGTGGTGTTCTCGCCAGAGTCTCGAAGAGAATGCAATCAACAAAGGGTAAATCTCAGACAGCTTCAGACACCAATGGAGCCATCAAAGATATAGTGACAGAGTGTGATCTGTTACCATCAACGGTGTCTCAGGGGGACCATGAAAGAGAATCAAAGAACAAGCCTAGAGCTGAAGAATCCGAAGGAGTAATGAGAAGAACATCTGTGGGAAGAAGACCATCGAGACATGCAGCAGAGAAAGTTCAATCATACAGAGAAGTCTCACTCAAAGTGAAAATGCGGAGGAACTTCTGAATCTCCCAGCATTCTCTTGGCCTCTTGTGTTCTTAGTATGCAAAGTTGTTGTTAAGAAACTTACTTCATGCTTATACCAAGGCAAATGTTAGATATAAATTTTGAGGGCATGATTTCTATAAAAAACGTCTGGTAGTTGAATGGCTTGCACAGATTTATTCACCTACCTACAGGTCAAAGGTTTAAGTCTAAGAGGGGAAATAGTTCTATATTTTGCATTAGACAGCCCAATACACTGGGCCGGGCCTGCCTTCCCCTTCTACTTAAACGAATGTGTAAGTTATAAATCTACAATTTGTTGTTGTTCCTATCTTATCTTAGTTTTTTTTGTTGTCAAAAAAAAAAATTCGTAGTTTTCTTTACATTAGTGTGTACATTAGTCAAACTAAGAGCATCTTTATCGCGGATGGTCAGAGAGTTTTTAATGGTGTGAGCCCCACAAAAAGAGTAAGAATCAGCTACATAAGTAATGAAATAAGGGTCGAGTTTAGAGTGTTTCTTACACTGTTCGCGGTACCATTGACACGTGGCGGTCCATGATTGATTTGTTTTTGAATTTTTTATATGCTCTAAGTGGTTAAATCCGGTACATTTTTATTTATTTCTTGTTTCTCCTATATTTTAGATGATCATGTGTGTGATATGCATTCTAACCCTGCTATATAAAGATCGCATAGAATATATATATAGAAACAGATTTCAAAAGAAGACTACAAAAATGTTTACTAAAACAAGATAAAAAATAATTACATAACCATTTCCTCCTATTTTTGTTTGTTGAATGTCAATCGCTTACAATAAAAGAGAAGGAGTTTCAGTATGAAAATGTGTATAAATAACACCAAGATGGAGAAATATATATATCATTGCAACAAAAGGGAAGTTTAGTTCCCCAAAAATGAATAATCTCTTCATCTTTTTGATTCTTCTTAGTTTATGCATCAAGCATACAGTAGGAAAAGAAATTAAAATCGTGCTCGTGAACGAATTGCACAATAAAGTCCTCGCGATACGTTGTAAATCCAAAAACGACAACCTTGGCGACCATGATTTGCGCGTTGGCCAAAGCAAGGAATTTGAATTCAACAATAACGTTTGGCTCTCGACGCTGTTTTGGTGTAACATGTGGCAAGCACCTAGTTATAGGGTTCACCAATTGTTTGATGCATACAGGTCTAAGTGGAAACGATATGGGTCCAACGTACTTTTGGATAGCAAGAGAGGATGGGATCTACTATAGAGAAGAACCCTTTGGTAAACCTCCTGTGAAAAGATATGACTGGAATCAAACGGCACCTTGATCATCATAATTTATAAAGAGAAGATGACCTCTTATTCTTCCATGCATGCATTGTTTGATGACAAATTAATTACAGATTTGAATCTGTGTTTTTGTGTTGTTGTTGTGGTTCAATAAAAGTCACCTATACATCACACAATAGAAATTTGAGTCATATGTGTAGTTAGTTTTTATCTATGGTGTGTGTGTATTTTTATATATTGATATATAAAATGATATTAATCATGATATTGTATGTAGTCTAGAGGTTTTGTTGTTCAAAAAAATTACATATAATATTATGTTTAATCAAAATCAAATATGTTGCGGAAAAAAATTATAGGTGAAATGCGTTGTGAATTTTCAATTTACAATTCTGCTAAAGAGGAATAATATCACGAACAAGGATAAAGAGAAATGAGAGACTAGAAACTGATACACTATGAAATAATATAAATTGAAATTGAAATAAAGAATCTGTTGGTCATGAATTTTCTTTATTTTAAAAATAAATTACATATAAAATATTATGTTTAATCAAAATCAAATATGTTGCGGAAAAAAATTATAGGTGAAATGCATTTTGAATTTTCAATTTACAATCCTGCTAAAGAAAAATAAGATCACAAACAAGGATAGAGAGAAATGAGACACCGTAAACTGATACACTATGAAACAACATAAATTGAAATTTAAATTAAGAATCTGTTGGTCATTAATTTTATATCTTAAAAATAGAAATTTTCTTCGGGAGAGTTTCAATTTTACCATAAATTTTATACTACTTTTTAAATTTATATTTTTAAATATGATCATTTTAATAAATATCTTAAATTTGTGATGAAAAATAAAATAACACGCTTAAATCCTTTATAAAAATATAAAATTTATAAATTAAACTCCACCTCTAAATATTAAATCTTAAACAATAATTACTAAACCAAAAATCCAAATGTTAGAGTATTTTTGAATGAAAATATTTTTGAAAGAAATGATATTCAACTTAATGTGTTTCAAACAATTTTTTCAAATGGTGTCTTCTTTGGAAATGGGAACATGATTAATTATTGAATGAATGGTAGTTTTCAAAAGAAAATGAACTATTAGAAATATAAGAATCAATAAATAATGTTTTATGAGATACAACCACTCTTGTGATGTTTTGAGTCATATATGATTTGATTAGGTAGGTCAGCTTTCATCAGCCTTACTAAATGCATGCAAATCATCATCTCCATGATTGATTTTATATTATTAACTGATTTTTAAATACAAATCTCCATGTTTTTTTTAAAAAATCTTGTAGCAAATAATCTTATCTTTTCAGCCAATCACTTTTGACTATTTTCCCATTGATTAGACGAATGGATTCATACCTTCGCTAAAATGCTTAACGTTCTCTTAGAGCAAGTACATTAGTGATCTTTAGGGGGGATCACACACATTCCCAAAAAAAAAAATATTAAAGTAATAGAAAAGTGGTGAACTCAGCTCACCTAGTCTCTCTGCCGTGAACCGAGATCAACACTATTACGTGGACCCCACACCACGTGGCGGCCCACGATTGGTCCCGTTAAATTTTTTTTTTTTTTTTTTTAAAAAAGTCAAAAAAAAAAAATAAAAATAAATAATAATAAAAAAATGTTTTTATGAACCTCAGTGCAGGTTTATCAATGTGCATGCTCTTATGTCTTGTTTCCACTATTAGCTAGCATTTTTTTTTCTGCAAAAGAACATATAATATAATATGGTCCTTATAAAATCGCAGGTGATTATTAAAGTCTTTGAAAACGCGGTGTTGATCACGGAATGGTTGAGTCACTTAGAGTATATCTTCTTTTAGCAAAACAGGTAAAGCAATAAAATGCTATGCTTCATAATATTCTGTCAGTAACATGCATGTGCATTGCATTGAGTTTCACTTTTGCAATATTGTAAAGCTAGTGGTGGTGTTGCCGTGCGAAACAAGACATAACGGCATTTGGCATGTGTTATTAATACGTTTGCATGGGGCCTTCAAATTCGGATAAAGCAAACTGAATATTAAACATTGAAATAAAATTTAATTAGCAAAAGAAAAATTAAAAGAAAAACAGGAGATACAATACAACAAAACCAAACGAACACAGTCTTTCACCAAAACTGGGATTAATTAAAATCAATTCTAATAAGGCGATTCTCAAACGGAATAAAGCCTAATCTTTTCTTCGTAGGGAATCTCCACAACACAGAACACTTTATTTTCGAGGAAATTGCTAGAAAAGTTCGAGTTCGACAAGCACATGTCTACATTAACAAGTTCTTCTAAAAAATATTTCATTTAATATATCGGGAATATCATGGTATCTTTGAGAATATCATTTTTTTTTTAACAATAATATCTTTGAGAATATCATGGGGCGCCATAATTATGCTTGATGATCTTCACCATAGTTCTACTTTACAACCAATGCCATATTGCACTTTCTTTGGTTCTCTATATATCATTGTAGTCAGATGCTACATGATATTTCAAAACGTCACGAAATTAACAACAACAAATCTCTATACAGATTGGGTAAAGACTAATTATTGGAGTTTATTTTACAACAACTCAACGTGTTTCACGTTCAAGATATGTCCCACTTCTATAAATACGGTGAACAAGGTGTCACCACTCTAAACAACACAACCCTATTGTAAAAACTCTCGTTTTTCTCTCCTTGAAATACTGCGAGAATTATGGATTCGAGATTCACCCATAGCACTCTTTCCTCAAGGTTTTTCTCTCAAATTCATCATATGATTTTATATACTATTTTTACAAATATGTATTTATGCATGTTCTATATGTATGACATGCAGATGTGATTATAAGGCTGAATACAAGTCGAATAACGGTGATGAAGAGAGAAGCAGCAAATACTCTTTTGTGAGTGCTCTATGTATGAGCGGAGGAGAGGGAGACAACAGCTACTCCACCAACTCTCTTCTTCAGGTTTTTCCTTACCTCTGCAGATACAAAATTTAGTACTTTATGCGTAGGTGGTGGTTGAAGAGATTTAGATTCTGCATTCGGTGATTCGGTTTAATAATTGTTTATACAGTTTACTGGATTGTGACTATATTTAAACCGAGTTCTATACAAAATTGTTTTTGGTTATATGTTATGTTTTATAGAAAAAATAAACGAAATGATTATCAAAATTATGCAGTTAATTTAATTAAGTTGTTATGATAAATATTTTTTATAAAGTAGTTGTTTTGTGCATAAATAATGATGGTGATTAAATGATTAGCTTACAAGAAAATTTTGGTTTACGGTTTTAACTAAACGTTTTATATCCGAAACTGCTTTATAATTTACGGTTTATCTTTGGTTTGATTTTATATAATTAATTATTAGAATATCCCCAGTCCCACAACTCGTTAGATATACACATAATTAAACTGGACACATATTAGTTAATGTAGGCCATATATGAACAAGATGTGTACATCAGTATAGATGGATGCTTGAATGTGGCCTTAAATTCAATTATACTTAAAGAAAACCCGTTAGAATTTCCCTTTACTATTATTGTAAAGCAACATTCTTTTTGTTTTTGTTATATTGTTTTTTAACTCATTCAAATTCGTTTTTTTTTTTCGTTTTTTAAGAGAAGGGCATTAGCAAAGGCTAAGCCGGTTTTGGTTAAGAGCATAAAGGAACTGATGACGGGATTGAACTTTCCTAAATACATTAAAGTAGCTGATTTGGGTTGTTCTTCGGGACAAAACACGTTCTTGGCAATGTCTGAAATCATCAATACAGTCAATGTGTTATGTCAAAAGTGGAACCAAAATCCACCAGAAATAGATTGTTGTCTAAACGATCTCCCTAGTAATGATTTCAACACGACATTCAAATTCTTACACTCCTTCAAAGAGAAGAACCTCACATGCAAAATGGCATACTTCGTTTCTGGAGTACCAGGTTCCTTCTACTCGAGGCTTTTCCCTCGTAAGAGTCTCCATTTAGTACATTCCTCTTATGGCCTCCATTGGCTCTCTAAGGTATGACAAGTGTTGAGACGTCACTATAACATTCTATCTTTGTATATATAAATTAAATTATTCAGTAATTTATTATAATGTTGGAACTATTGATTGTAAGGTTCCTGAAGGACTTGAGAAGAACCACATGAATGTGTACATCACAACCTCAAGTCCCCTAAGTGCATACATGGCTTACCTAAAACAATTCGAAAGAGATTTCACGACATTTCTAAAACTGCGTTCTGAAGAGATGGTTTCTAATGGACGTATGGTTCTCACTTTCACTGGTAGAAACAATATGGATAATCCATTGCATAGAGATTGTTGTCACTTTTGGACATTATTATCCAAATCTCTCCATGATCTTGTCATCGAGGTATATATCAAAATTAAAGTAAACATTTGTTTTCTTTTTGGCTTTCCACATTTTGAACATATAGTATAATCTCTTTAATTTAATACTCTGTAAATTAATATAAACTAAAAATCTATATAAAATAATATAATTTTATAGTTTTCAATTGAATTTTTGGTTCAATTAATATATTGATAAATTAATAAAAAATATAGTTTTTGTATAATCCCATTATTATTAATTTATAAAAGTTTCACTACTGTATGTTCAAACATTGGCTTCACATATATCTATTTTTACGTAGGGTCTTGTGAGTGCCTCGAAGGTAGATTCGTTCTACATGCCTTTTTATGATCCAAGCATAGAAGAAGTTAAAGAAATAGTAGGGAAAGAGGGCCTTTGAAATCAAAAATTTTGAGGCACATGAATATGATCTTGGCCATTGTAACCAAGACGGGTCAAAGAGAAGTAAATCAGGGCAAAATGAAGCCAATTACATAAGAGCGGTGAGTGAACCATTGCTCGTGGCTCACTTTGGAAATGCCATTATCAACAGATTGTTTAGCAAGTTCGCACATCATGTGTCTCAACATGCTGGTTGCAGAAACAAAACTACCGTTAGTCTAGTAGTTTCATTGACTCGCAAATAACTACTATTATGTAATAAAGTTTGTCTTGGCGAGTTATGTGAAGGGTCAAAAGAATTTTACGTATTTTTTTCTCTGACGTATTACTATCATCGATATCATACATGACATGAGTTCCTGCGTTTTAGTGAAGATGCGGCGAAGCTGCTGAATCTACCACACTCTCTTGGCCTGTTGTGTTCTTAAAATTCAAAATTGTTGTTACTTCATGCTTTTGTATACCATTTCAATGTTATCTAGGACCTTCCGCTTCTACTCAAACGATTGTGTAAGTTACAAATCTACAATTCTGTATTTTGTCAAACCAAATGATTAAATCTGGTTGGTCAAATTAAGCAGAAGTTGTTGGTCAATAAAAAAAAAAATACCGCGTGGGTTTTATTTTCATTTTATATACATAAAAATTTATTTTATATTATTAATGCTGTAAGTCATATATTTAAATGTTTATAAAACTATTTCAAACACGATAATTTTAACATTTGTTTCAATCGTTTCTTATTATATATTTATCTTTTTGGATTTTCATTAATTATTAAATAAGCTAATATATGCATGAAAATCATGTTTGAAAATTATTTTATATTTAATTTATACTAAAAGTTTATATGTTAATTTTATACATGTGTTATATAGTTACTAATGTGAACATGTTCTGCATATCATATTTTTCACGTTAATATTTTCTATTTATGAAAATAAAATAGTTTAATTTATCTATTTAATACAATTTTACTATAATATTTTAATATGATACATTATGATTTTATAAAAGATAGATAAAAATGATATAATTTTTATTTTTTATTTTATAAAAGATAACTACACACATATATATATATATATATATATATATATATTAATGTATAATTTATATTCTTTACTAATTTGAAATTAGTGAAATATTTACATAATTTTTTTAAAGTTAGGATCTTGTTAGATATTTTTCAACAGATATTTTTTTTTAATTTTGAATATATATTTATGTTTAAAATAAAAAGATATCAAAAGATATTATGATTAAAGTAGTTAAAAATATTTTATTACTAGATTTAAAGAAATACAAATAGCAAAAGTTTCTAGTGATGATCAATTTTAAGAAAAAAATCACATTTGAGTCAAAGTCATAACTTCTCTTTTAATATATAAGATAAACTTCTAAAATAAGACTTAACATATAAGATAAACTTCTAAAATTAGACTAAAACATAAAAGATAAATATTGTTGGTCAAAATTATATTCTAAAATTAAATATAAGAAGAAACTAAAATAAGAAACAGAATAACTTATTTTTATAACTATATATTTTACCATTTTTTATCAATTTTGTTGTAGAATATCATTTGGTAACAATAAGAAAGGAGGAATCTCAGTATGAAAATGTGTATGAATACCGTCTAAGATGGATATATATATAAACCTCTCTTTAATTTGTTGAAATATATATATATATATATATATATATATATATATATATATATATATATATATATATATATATATATATATATATATATTTACAACAAATTAAAGAGAGGTTTAGTTTCAAAAATAAAATGAAAAATCTCATCATCTTTTTCATTCTTCTTAATAGATGCTTCGGACAGATAGTAGACGAAAAGAATACACTCGTTCTCACGAACGAACTGAACAACAAAATCCTTGCGGTGCATTGTAAATCCAAGGACAACGACCTTGGTGTCCATTATTTGCTTGTCGGCCAAAGCCAAGAATATAAATTCAGGGATAATATTTGGCAAACGACGTTCTTCTGGTGTCATATGGGGAAAGGACCTGATTATAAGATTCAACAAGAGTTTGATGCATACAGTTCTAAGTGGAGTAAGTATGTGGGACACACCTATTGGATAGGAAGAGAGGATGGGATCTACTTTAGACAAGAACCGCATGGTTTACCTTTGGTGAAAAAATACGATTGGAAACTTACCGCACCTTGATCTTTCATGCAGGTGTATGCTTGCATTGTTTGGTGAGGATTATAAACTTACATCTCTGTTTTTGGTTATTGTTGTTGTTAGGGTTACCTACAAATTTCACAATGGAAATCTGAGTCAGATGTGTAGTTTGTTTTCATCTTTAATTTGAATCACATGTAATTGCATGATGAAGTTATGCATTAAAACAAAATACCATATTTTCTAATTTATCTTACGAAAAGATATAGTTTTTTTTTTTCCAATAAATTTTATATATGCTAAAGTTTAGCCTCGGTAATATTAAAAAAATAACTAACCACATTCTAATGCATATTAGTGTATGCTAAACATATTTTTCATTGTACGTGGACATCATTTTTAATTTTTAACGAATATTTTTTTAAACTTCATATACGATCTAATTATCTTACTAACATTCCTATAAAATCTATATTTTCTAGAGAAATGAGAACACCTAAATCTCAAACATATTTAATCTTCATACTATGTCAGTGTGATGCATCTAGGCATTAAAACAAAAATTCTATTTTTTCAAATTTATCTTGACTAAATACTATCTATACTATTTAGCCACTTTAGTGCTGTTTAAAAATTCCTAACCACACTCCAAATTTGTATATATGTATGATAAAATTATTTTCAAGGTACATGAAGATCTTTTCTAATTCTCCAACGTATATTTTTTTTTAAAACTTCATATACTACCTAATAGGTTGACTAACCGCTATAAAAACTCCATTTCTGGAGAAACATGAACACCTAAGATCTCAGTCCTCTTTATTCTCAATACTATATTAGTGCATGATGAAAATTAATTAAAACAAAAATACTACATTTTCTAATTTATCTTGAAATATATGGGTTAACCCCAACAAAAAATCAAGTTTTCTGATAAATGTTATATATATGCCTATTTGGTTTTGTTTTAAAATACCTAACTACATTCAAAATTTATATTAATATAATAAACTTATTTTCATGGTACACGAGCACCAATCTTAATTTTAATATAATAAACTTATTTTCATGGTACACGGGCACCACTACTATGTCAGCATCATGCACTGACATAGTATGAAGATTTAAGAGGTTTGAGACCTTAGGTGTTCCCGTTTCTCCAATTTTTTTTTTATCGGGATTAGTCCACCTATTAAGTGGTATATGAAGTTAAAATTAATTACTCGTTCAAAAGTTTGAAACGATGCTCTAATACCATGAAAATAAAATTTAAATACATTAATTTAAATTTATAATCTGTTTTAGTATTTTTTAATCAACAACAAAGAGCCTAAACTTTAAATTTTAGCCTTTATCCAAAAACTCGATCTTTTCGTAGGGGTTACCCCACATATTTCAAGATATATTAGAAAATGATATTTTTGTTTTACTGCATAGAAGTATCATGCACTGACATAGAATAAAGATTAAAAAGGTTTGAGACCTTAGAGGTTCCCGTTTCTCCAAAAAAATATTTTTATCGGGGTTAGTCCACCTATTAAGTGGTATATGAAGTTAAAAATATTTACTCATTTAAAAGTTTGAAACACATGCTCTTGTACCATGAAAATAATTTTTTTAATAACATGATTTGGTATTTTTTAATAAACAACAAAGAGCCTAAACTTTAATTTTTAGCCTTTATCGAAAAACTCGATCTTTTCGTAGGGGTTAGCCCCTTAGGTGTTCCCGTTTCTCCAAAAAAAAATATTTTTATCGGGGTTAGTCCACCTATTAAGAGGTATATGAAGTTAAAATTACTTACTCGTTTAAAAGTTTAAAACACATGCTCTTGTACCATGAAAATAAATTTAAAATACATTAATTTAAATTTATAACCTGATTTAGTATTTTTTAATCAACAGCAAAGAGCCTANCAAGATAAATTAGGAAATATGATGCACTGACATAGTTTAAAGATTAAAGAGGCTTGACAACTTAGGTGTTTTCGTTTCTCCAAAAACAAAGTTTTTTTTATCGGGGTTACTCCACCTATTAAGTGGTATATGAAGTTAAAATTAATTACTCGTTCAAAATTTTGAAACACATGCTCTTGTACCATAAAAATAAATTTTAAATACATTAATTTAAATTTATAACCTGATTTGGTATTTTTTAATCAACAACAAAGAGCCTAAACTTTAATTTTAGCCTTTATCGAGAAACTTGATCTTTTCGTAGGGGTTAGCCCACATATTTCAGGATAAATTTGAAAAAATGATATTTTTGTTTTATTGCATAGAAGTATCATGCACTGACATAGATTGAAGATTAAAAAAGTTTGAGACCTTAGGTGTTCCCGTTTCTCCAAAAAAAAATATTTTTATCGGGGTTAGTCCATCTATTAAGTGGTATATGAAGTTAAAATTACTTACTCGTTTAAAAGTTTAAAACACATGCTCTTGTACCATGAAAATAAATTTAAAATACATTAATTTAAATTTATAACCTGATTTAGTATTTTTTAATCAACAACAAAGAGCCTAAACTTTAATTTTTAGCCTTTATCGAAAAACTCGATCTTTTCGTAGAGGTTAACCCACATATTTCATGATAAATTAGAAAAAATGATATTTTTGTTTTAATGCATAGAAGCATCATGCACTGACATAGTATAAAGATTAAAGAGGTTTGAGAACTTAGGTGTTCCCGTTTCTCTAAAAAAAAGTTTTTTATCGGGGTTAGTCCACCTATTAAGTGGTATATGAAGTTAAAAATAATTACTCGTTCAAAATTTTGAAACACATGCTCTTGTACCATAAACCTAAAATTAAAATACATTAAATTAATTATAACCTGATTTAGTTTTTTTTTAATCAACAACAAAGAGCCTTAATTTTAATTTTAGCCTTTATCGAAAAACTTGATCTTTTCGTAGGGGTTATGCTACATATTTCAAGATAAATTAGATAATGATGTTTTTGTTTTACTGCATAGAAGTATAATGAACTGAAATAGTATGAATATTAAAGAGGTTTGAGACCTTAGTTGTTCTCGTTTTAAAAAAAAACAAATTTTTATCGGGGTTAGTCCACATATTAAGTGGTATATGAAGTTAAAATTAATTACTCGTTCAAAATTTTGAAACACATGCTCTTTTACCATGAAAATAAATTTAAAATACATTAATTTAAATTTATAACCTGATTTGGTATTTTTTAATCAACAACAAAGAGCCTAAACTTTAATTTTAGCCTTTATCGAGAAACTTGATCTTTTCGTAGGGGTTAGCCCACATATTTCAGGATAAATTTGAAAAAATGATATTTTTGTTTTATTGCATAGAAGTATCATGCACTGACATAGATTGAAGATTAAAAAAGTTTGAGACCTTAGGTGTTCCCGTTTCT